GGTTTTCTATTTCTTCCTGGTTCAGTTTTGGTAGTTGATACATCTCTAGGAATGCATCCATTTCTGTCAGATTATCTAATTTCCTGGCATAGAGTTTCTCATAATATGTTCTTATAATTGTTTGTATTTCTTTGGTGTTGGTAGTGATCTCTCCTCTTTCATTCATGATTTTGTTGATTTGGGTCATTTCTCTTTTCTTTTTGATAAGTCTGGCCAGGGGTTTATCAATCTTGTTAATTCTTTCAAAGAACCATCTCCTAGTTTCATTGATCTGTGCTACTGTTCTTTTGGTTTCTGTTTCATTGAATTCTGCTCTGATCTTTATTATTTCTCTTCTTCTGCTGGGTTTAGGCTTTATTTGCTGTTTTTTCTCCAGCTCCTTTAGGTGTACGGTTAGGTTGTGTATTTGAGACCTTTCTTGTTTTTTGAGAAAGGCTTGTATTGCTATATACTTTCCTCTCAGGACTGCCTTTGCTGTATCCTAAATTTTGAACAGTTGTGTTTTCATTTTCATTGGTTTCCATGAATTTTTTTAATTCTTCTTTAATTTCCTCGTTGACCCATTCATTCTTTAGTAAGATGCTCCTTAGCCTCCATGTATTTGAGTTCTTTGCAACTTTCCTCTTGTGAGTGATTTTCCAAGCATTGTGGTTTACAAATATGCAGGGAATGATCCGAATCTTTTGGTACTGTTTGAGACCTGATTTGTGACCTAGGATGTGATCAATTCTGGAGAATGTTCCATGGGCACTAGAGAAGAATGTGTATTCCACTGCTTTGGGATGGAATGTTCTGAATATATCTGTGAAGTCCATTTGGTCCAGTGTGTCATAAAGCCTTTATTTCCTTGTTGATCTTTTGCTTAGAGGATATGTCCATTTCAGTGAGGGGTGTGTTAAAGTCCCCCACTATTATTGTATTATTGTCGATGTGTTTCTTTGCTTTTGTTAATTGCCTTATATAATTGGCTGCTGCCATATTAGGGGCATAGATATTTATATTTGTTAGATCTTCTAGTTGGATAGACCCTTTAAGTAGGATATAGTGTCCTTCCTCGTCTCTTATTACAGTCTTTGGTTTAAAATCTAATTTGTTATTTAAGGATTGCCACCCCAGCTTTCTTTTGGTGTCCATTAGCATGGTAAATTGTTTTCCACCCCTTCACTTTCAATCTGGAGTTGTCTTTGGGTCTAAAATGAATTTTTGCATACAACATATAATGGGTTTCATTTTTTAATCCAATCTGATAGTCTGTGTCTTTTGATTGGGGCATGTAGCCCATTTACATTCAGGGTAACTATTGAAAGATATGAATTTAGTGCCATTGTATTGCCTGCAAGGCGACTGTTACTGTATATTGTCTGTGTTCCTTTCTGGTCTATGTTGCTTTTAGGCTCTCTCTTTGCTTGGAGGACCCCTTTCAATATTTCTTGTAGGGCTGGTTTTGTGTTTGCAAATTCCTTTAGTTTTGGTTTGTCCTGGAAGCTTTTTATCTCTCCTTCTATTTTCAATGACAGCCTAGCTGGATATAGTATTCTTGGCTGCATATTTTTCTCATGTAGTGCTCTGAATATATCATGCCTGTCCTTTCTGACCTTCCACGTGTCTATGGATAGGTCTGTTTCCAATCTAATGTTTCTAACATTGTAGCTTACAGATCTCTTCTCCCGAGCTGCTTTCAGGATTTTCTCTTTGTCTCTGAGACTCGTAAGTTTTACTATTTGATGTCGAGTTGTTGACCTATTTTTATTGATTCCGAGAGGGGTTCTCTGTGCCTCCTGAATTTTGATGCCTGTTTCCTTCCCCACATTAGGGAAGTTCTCTGCTATAATTTGCTCCAATATACCTTCTGCCCCTCTTTCTCTTTCTTCTTCTTCTGGGGTCCGAATTATTCTAATGTTGTTTCATCTTATGGTATCACTTATCTCTCGAATTCTGCCCTCATGATCCAGTAGTTGTTTATCTCTCTTTTTCTCAGCTTCTTATTTTCCATCATTTGGTCTTCTATATCGCCGATTCTCTCTTCTGCCTCATTTTTTTTTTAAGATTTTATTTATTTATTTGACAGAGACAGATAGTGAGAGCAGGAACATATGCAGCGGGAGTGGGAGAGGGAGAAGCAGGCCTCCCCCTGAGAAGGGAGCCCGATGTGGGACTCGATCCCAGGACCCTGGGATCATGACCTGAGCCGAAGGCAGATGCTTAATGACTGAGCCACCCAGGCGCCCCCTCTTTTGCCTCATTTATCCTAGCAGTTAGTGGCCCCATTTTTGATTGCACCTCATTAATAGCCCTTTTGACTTCAACTTGGTTAGATTTTAGTTCTTTTATTTCTCCAAAAGGGGTTTCTCTAATAACTGCCATGCTTTATTCAAGCCCAGCTAGTATCTTTAAAATCATCATTCTGAACTCTAGGTCTGACATCATACTAATGTCTGTATTGAGTAGGTCCCTGGCATTCCGTACTGCCTCTTGTTCTTTTTGTTGAGGTGATTTTTTTCCATCTTGTCATTTTGTCCAGAGGGGAATAGATGAATGTGAGAACATATTGCTAACAGGGTAAAACGTCCCCAGAAAATATACTGTAAAGAAATCAGAAAAGGCCTTTAACTGGGGGAAAAGAAAGGGAAAGAAAGAAAAAAGAAAATGGAAAAAAAGATAAAAACAAACAAAAACAGAACAAAATAAAACACAAAAACAGAATATGATCAAATATGATCAGGCTGGTGCATAGATCAGTGCCGCACACTAGTTTTTGGTGTATTTTGGTCTGTTAGAAGAAAGTGCCTCCCAAAATTTTAAAGGAAGAAAAACTTACATATGTACAAAAATAAGGGTTGATACGATGAAGGGATGGAATATGACTGTAAAAATGAAAAGTATAAAAATTTTATAAAAGAATTGATAAGTTGTTTGAAAAAAGAAGACGATTTAAAAAAATAAAGGAAAAAAAAGGAGAGAATGTGATCAGGCAGGAGACTAGAAACAAAGCCATACACTAGAGATTTAGGGTATATTTTGATATGTTAGAAGAAACTGTATCTCAAAATTTTAAAGAGAGAACAACTTATATATATATGCCAAAAATAAGGGTAACTACTATGAAGGGATAGAATATGACTCCAAAAATGAAAAATAAAAATGTTTTTTTAAAAAAAAGGATTGATAAGTTGTTGGTTGAAAAAGGGAAAAAGAAAAATTCAAAAAAAAAGACAGTTAAAAAAATTAACTTTGAAAGACTAAAGAATCATGGGTAAAAAAGCCATGAATTCTATCTGCAGTATTCCCCTAGCTCTGGAATTCTGCCATTCTCATTGATCGGTAAACTTGGTCTTGGCTGGCTGGCTGTTCTTGCTGATCTTCTGGGGGAGGGGCCTGTTGCCGTGGTTCCCAAATGTCTTTGCCGGAGGCAGAATTGCCCTGCCCTTGTCGGTCTGGGCTAAAGTAATCGGCTAGGGTTTGCTCTCGGGAGCTTTTGTTCCCTGCTAGCTTTCGGTACAGCTTTGGAGGACAAGAGTGAAAATGTCGGCCTCCCAATCTCCGCCCAGAGGAGCCGAGAACTTGGGGCCCTACTCCTCAGTGCGCCCCCAGAGAAAAGCAGTCAATCATTCCCATCTTCCCGGTCTCCAGCCGCACTCCGAGCTCACCAGCCTGTGATCCTACGTTTATATCTCTGGCACCCGACTTGGTGTGGGGTCTCCAAACTCAGGAGATCCCTGCGGTGTGCTCCCCGCATTGCTCCTCCCAGAGGAGGAAGGGGATTCTCCCCGGATCTGCCGTTTGTTGGGTCCCTATTGGAGGAGCAGTGGCCCGACTGTGCCCCGGATCACGGTTTATGGCAACCCGGAGCTGAGAGCCCACTCCTCAGCTCCGTCTCTGCAGCCGGCTTCCCCACTCTGATATCTGGGAGCTCTGCTGCACTCAGGCACCCTCGGTCTTTCTGTGACCCCGAGGCTCCTGAGACCACACTGTCTGGGGAGTGTTCCACCCCCCGCTTAGCCAACGGACTGACGTCCCTCAGCAGAGCCGACTTCTAAAAGTTCCTATTTTGTGCTCCGCGGCTCTATCACTTGCCAGAAGCCGCCAACGGAGGCCCCCTCCCCTGCCGTCTATCCTCCCGAATATCGCCTCGGATTCACTTCTCCGCACATCCTACCTTCCAGAAAGTGGTCTCTTTTCTGTTCAGAGAGTTGTTGCTATTCTTTTCTTCTATCTCCTGTTGAGTTCGTAGGTGTTCAGAATGGTTTGATCCCTATCCAGCTGAATTCCTGAGACCAGACGATATCCGGGTCTCCTACTCCTCTGCCATCTTGCTCTGCCCCCCTACACCCATTTTCTTTATCCATTCAGCCATGAATGCTTGTTTCTTGATTATATGAATAGTATTTAATGTTTATTACTATTCTGTGTTTCAGGGACTCCATGAAAAAACTGGTGCATTTACAGCTGTTAAAGTGATGAATGCTCGTAAGGTAATATATCTTGTCCATATTCTGTTCACTTAATGGACTATGGTCTTGGGATAAACAGCTCAGAAAATATTTGTTTTTTAATAATTATTATACATAATTATGTGTTGTTAATCTGGATTTTTTATATTTATCACTTAATATTATTTCTATCCATTAGTATAGTATCTTTATTATTGATTTAGTATATTTATACATAAGAAATGTTTCACAGTGAAAGATCCACATACTTTGGCATTCTACAAGTGTGAAGAATATATCTATATTCCTGCCTATTTCTAGTTGATTATCTCTAGGGATAGTAAAGAGGAGATTTCCTCTAATACCATGTTCATCCTTCAGTGTTCCATCATATACTTTTCCCTGTCCCAACATTTCCTTTTGAGAATTGAGGCCTTTAGATTCTCAATGACAGGTAGAAGGAAAGAATTTGTCAGAAATGCACATTTTTCAGGCTTTTTCTGACAGATGAGCAAGAGAGACAGTTTAATTGGCACTGTTCCTGCTAACATTCATAAAGTTGTGTCATGGTTCATAACATATTGTCATAGAATTTGCTAAGCACTGATTTCTGTCTTCTTTCTTTGGCATGAGTGCCTCACTTTCTCAAGATAATATTAGTATGAACAAAGCAAATGTCAAAAATTTTCACTTCACTATACCCTAAAGAGAAATTCTCAAATGTTATGATTGAAAAACTATACATATTCACTGAACTGTTGTCAGTGCCATAAACTGTTCTTTTCCATTTTGTGCAATGAGTGAATTGCTGTAACTATTTAAGGAGTTTTATGTTTTTTATTTTACCAGTAAATGTCAAATGTTGAAAAAAACTGTTGTAAAACAATGTGAATTTCAAGGGATTTTGAAGTTTTGTGGATTTATTTTGCCCTACAAACCATGGCTTCCAAATAATCAGCCTAGTACTTTTTGAGTGTGACTTTCTAAAATACTTATTTCTTTGTTTTGACTTGAAAGAACTTTGACCTAACTTTAATCTACATTTTACATATTTTAACTTTTGAAACATTTAAAAAGCATGTTTAGACCATAGTTTCAATTACTTTGTTTTGTAAGGAGAAATAGCACTTTACAAACATCAAATTGTAATTTTCCCATTAATATGGCAGTTAAATCTGTTACTATGAATTTAGTGCCAAGTTTCTTTATATATACGAATCTGATTTTTTAAGTAAAATTATTAGTGAAAATTGAGAGAAAGAATATTATGTTACTCTTCCATTGAGTGCCAAAAGAACACAAAATACTTAAAAATAAATCATTTTCAGAGTGTACCAGTGGGTCTAATAACATTTTGTTCTTGGTTTTGCAGACCCCTTTACCTGAAATAGGAAGGAGAGTGAGAGTGAATAAATATCAAAAGTCTGTCGGATGGAGATACAGTGTGAGTACTGAAAGTCCCTGTTAGCTCTCAAGTTTTCTTCTTTTAATTTTCAACTTTAAACCAACCCTTTGTATCGTTATCTCTAGAAGGCCACCACTAAAATATTCTTGCCTGGAAGTGGTAACATACTATCTTTTAACACATTCACATAGATTCAATCATATTTGAACACTAACATCTGTCAGAAAGCAGGAGCTAGAAGAAATGGTTCCCTGAACAGGTAAGAGTTGACAGCAGGTGAAGGATTGATTATATCCACAGAGCATAGAGCCCTTTAGCTGAGTAGCAATAAAAGAGATAATGAAACCATGAGAAAATTTTGCCTTAAATTGGCCTTGGCAAGGTCTTTTTTACACTTTTTACAGGGTATTCCAGACTGACTGGCTATTCCTCCATTATAATTCTAAGAAACATTGCTATTGTAGATGAGCTAAATGAGGACTACTCTTTTTTTTTTTTAAGAAAAATAGCAGACAGAAAACCACAGGCCATCCAACCTAAAAGTCTTCAGACATCTGGCACAGTACTTGAATAGATAAAGGAGTGTGAAGATGCTTTCTACTTGAAGGTTTTTAACTGTCTTACAAAACAGTCTCTATGACTCTAATAATTTTCTGGCTCTAGAATAAGATCAAAGAAAATTCTTTTTTGGTAGATGTTAGTGATCTATCAAAATATTCTGTGGGCCTAAAAGCAGAATTCCTGCTCTTATCAGTATAATTCACTGATATCTTTTTTTCTTACTTTCCTCCTTAGCTATCTGGTATTCAAATATTTTCAGCCTTTTGTGCCTTAATGAATATAATCTCAGGACTTAAAATAACTTTTTCCATTAACACAATCACATTCAGAAAAACTTTGTATTTATATTAGAAAGGTATCGATAAACAGCTTCATGATTCATCTAGTAAGCACCAGGCTCCTGTTTTGTTTACAATGTATCTCAGGAGACAAAGCATATCCAAATGAAACAGATAGTACTGATTAATAACATGCTTTGGTAGATCAAGAAGCTGCAAAGAGTAAGGCATGAAAAATATAATCGTTTGACTAATTTTGGTTTCATCAAACATTTCTGTTAATAAATCCCTTTCTTCCCCAAATGTCTTTGGTATTCTTTCCACAGGGAAAAATATTTTGGTTCTAAAATTGGGTGAAATTATGAAGGAAGTTGTGGTATCCTTGAGCTGCCTCTTTTTGACAAAAATTAGGATATTCAGGCTACTCTGGGATCAACTGGCCCTCAGCCAGGAAATGCTATAGCATCATATTACTGGGATATGTCTGAGAGTTTTAAATTACCCACTTGGCCTGATGGATATAATGTACTTACGTGTTTCTCACAAGCTCAACTTCCTGTTAATTGAGAATGGCAAACACACTAATGCTTTCCAAACATATCTGATCTTGGTTTATTGGTTTTGGGGGAGTTTACATTTATGTGGGAAACTCACTCTTAAAAGTTTTTCTAGTTGGAAACTTTGAACTCTGATTATATATTTTAGTAAAAATAACTGCTAGCTGATCAGCCAGTTAGTATCTCTAAATCATCCTGAATCCTTTGGGATAAGAAGTTTGTGACTTGCACACACATCTCTTTGAGTCAGGGGTTTATGGAAATAGCAATAATGTGAAAGTCCAGACACATGAGTTTAAATCTCAAGTCTACCACTAGTAGCTAAGAAATACTTGGAAAGCTGGTCTTACCTCTTTAGGCCTCAGATTCCTCATAAGTAAAATGGCACCAGAAGATTTGGCCTACTTATAAACAGAGTTAAAAATACAGTCAAATGCAACTGCATAGCTTCCTGGAGCCCAGCCATTCTATTCTTGCTTGGGGACCTGAACTTTCTCACCCAGAAAGAAAAAAAAAAGCTCTTTGATTGTAGTGTCCCATGATTCATTGTTTGCGTATAACAATGAATCATGGAACACTACATCAAAAACTAATGATGTAATGTATGGTGATTAACATTATATAATTAAAAAAGCTTTTTGATAATCAAACTACCAAACAAATTAAAGGACTTAGTCTGGCCCCTGCTTCTTTTACATGTTCTTTGTGTTCTTACCTCCATACCATCATCTCATGCCTATTTATCACACTCTTTATGAATTCATATTCCTTTCAACACAACTATGGTGTCTTGCTAGGACCTGAAAGTGCCCATGTACATACAGAATTGCTAATTCCTGTGGTTTTTTTCTATATGATGGCAGATGATGTTACCATTTCAAAGAACAACCACATAGGAGGGAAAGCAGAAAGTTCAGTGGTCCTACATGGCAAGAATGAAAGTCACAAGGATCAACTTTTAGCTTTGTGGAAAACAGGTTAAGGGAATTCAAAGGGAGCTTATTAACTGAGCTTCCTTGGGAGGCTGGGATGAGACTGGAACTTGAACTCCTATATAATTCTCATGCAACAAGTTGATTGTTTTATTTATTTATGCATTTATTACACAATAAATACAAAGAGAGAACCTGTCATTGGGTTTCCAGCTAGAGAAACCAGGCCCCTCACCTCCCCCCAAAGACAAATAGGTGTCTAGATATATTTTCTAGTTGTTGAATATTTATGGGTAAATCCACTGGAAAATCCCAGGGAAATGTTAAAGAATGTTCTGCAGCTGCTAGTCATTTCTCTGAGATTTCAGGCTTTTTCCAAGATATATTATGAACACTTGGGGACATTTCAGGACCTAGTACATTGCCTTATATTTATTTCATATCTATTTTTAAAGGCCAACCACACTATAGCTAAATATAAAAAAATGTCCATTTTTTTCTACTGGGTCTCGAAGAATAAGCTAAAAAGGAAAATAATAACTGACTAGATATATTCAGCTACCTATTAATGTCAGCTAAAGGATGTATTTTCCCCTACCCCCAGGTCATCAAGTCAAGGTAATTGAAGGAGATTCTGGGGAGAACTAAAGATAGAGGTTGACCCTTTTTTTATTCATTGCCCCAGAGAAGTCAAAGGTATCCTTTTCACTGGATTTCAGAAGCCACCTATTTTTAATTAAAAGGTCTTCTTTTCTATTTTTAGTTTTTTGAGGAACCTCCATACTTTTTTCCAAAGTGGCTATACCAATTTACATTCTTGCCAACAGTGCATGAGGGTTCCTTTTTCTCCATATCTTTTCCAACACTTAATATTTCTTGTCTTTTTAATTTTAGCCATTCTACTAGGTAAAATAAGTCAGACTAAGAAAGACGAATAACATATAATTTCACTCATGTGGAATCTAAAAAAGCAAATGAATAAACAAACAGCAGAATCAGACCTATAAATACAGAGAACAAAGTGATGCTTTCCACAGGGAAGAAAGTGAGGGGATGGGTAATATAGGTGAAAGGGAGTGGGAGATACAGGCTTTCAGTTATGGAATGAAGAAGTCACAGGAATGAAAGGTGAGGATAGGGAATACAGTCAATGGTATTATAATAGTGTTGTGTGGTGACAGATGGTACCTACACTTGCGGTGAGCATAGCATAACATATAGAGAAGTTGAATCACTATGTCATACACCTAAAACTAATGTAACATTGTATGTCAAATATACTATAATTTTAAAAAATTAAAATTACACTTTTTGGTCAAATAATCTTTTCTTTACGTACTACTATATATTTACTTTGTACAATAAAGAGTACTCTTGAAAAGGTTATATAAATTGAACTTTTATAGATGAACTTTTAAATTACCCACTTGGCCTGATGGATATAATGTACTTATGTGTTTATTTATAATAAATACTATTAAAATAATATTATAATATTATTTATAATCAAATGAAATTTAGAGCTAGTAGGAATTCAAAGGACCCAGGTCGTTAATCCATTTGTAAAGTGTAATTACTTCCTGAGTCATTTCATATCACCCTCAACTTCATTATGCACTATCCTGTATTCATCAATGGTTGTAATTCATGTATGTGAATCTTATTTCCTTGTATATAAGTTCCTTTAAGTTAAGGATATGATATCTAAATGCATAAACCGATGATATGCTCATTGGAAATTCCTAACAATTTGTTACTTTTTTAAAGTTAACATTTTAAGATTTTTTTCTCCAATGCATTGCACCTGTATACACATAAAGTGTGATGATTTTTAAATTATTGAGAAGAAAAGAACTTTTTTTAGATTGGTTAAGAATAGTTACAGATAGATTATGGAACATATGGAAACTACTATGGAACATATGGAAACAAACTACTTATACTTCATGGTATAAGGGGAATAGCTTCCCATTTCAATCCAGTGTGATAAAAGTGATGAAACAAAAGTTGCTGATGTTTATAGATTAGGGTAAAAAGTGGAGAAAGGTGTATAGTTCTGATAACACTCTAAAGCAAATGAGAAGTTCAACTAACAGAGATACTCTATGATAATACCTTACATTTATAACATTCTTCTTTCAAGGACTTCAAAGAACTTTAAATTAATTGTCCCATTTGGCTCCATTAATGTTCCATGGAGAGAGGTAATGGCTGCCAACTTCCATCAGATTTCTGAGGATAAATTCAACCTTGAGAAGATTAAGTGAATTTCCAACTTTTAGCTATTAGTGGTAAAACCCAGGTGTCCTACTGCCCAGTGTAGATGTTCCTTTTTTTTTTTTTTTTTTTAGAGAGAGGGAGAGAAAGAGGGAGTGGGGAGGGAAGGAAGCAGAGGGAAAGGGAGGGAAAAAATCTTAAGCAAGCTCTGCACTGGGAGCCTGAGATCATGACCTGAGCCCAAATCAAGAGTCGATGCTTAACTGACTGAGCCACCCAGGTGCCCCTAGATGTTCTTTTATGATAACACCATACTGTCTTCTACTAAAGATATCTCTTGAAATTATGTATTCTACCTTGGAGATCCCATATGAAAGGATAGCTTCAATTATCACTATAGATATAATCCTCAAAAACAGTACCTTTAGCCCTGATCTGTTCCCTGAGTGGCAGACCCATATCTTTAATCTGTGAAATTCTATGCATCCATAAAAAGGAAGTACATTTATGTTTATTGATGTAGAAACATGCACTTTAGGTATAGAATAAGACATGCAAGTTGCAGAGTAGTGAGATATATATATTCTGAAGGAATAAACATGACTGGAGGAATATACACTCAGCTGTTACCACTAGTAGAAGGAAATATTCAGTGAATGTATAACATTTACATATTTTACTTCATATATATAAATACATTTTATCCATATATATCACTGTTGTGTTTAAGAAAATAAATGACTTTAAGCATATCTTTATAAAGGATTAGCACAGATAAAACCTGTACCTTAAAATGCAATGAGTCATAAACCAAGTCAGTGTGGTACAGGCATAAGGATAGACATACAGATTAGTGGAATAGGACTATTTCCATATATCTATGGTCAATGGATTTTTGACACGGGTGCAAAGATAATTCATGGAGGAAAATAGTCTTTTCAACAAATAATGCTGAGACAACTAGATATCCACATGTAAAAGAATTAACTTACACCCCTAGTTTATATGAAAATTAACTCAAAATGATCAAAGACCTAAATGTGAGAACTAAAACTATAAAATGCTTAGAAGGAAACATTTGGATAAATCTTCATGACCTTAGATTTGGCAATGGATCCTTAGATACGACACTAAAAGTACAAACAATAAGACAAGAAATCAAAAAATCAGACTTTATCAAAATTAAAAATTTTATTTCTCAAAGGACACTATCATGATAGTGAAAAACAACCCACAGAATGGGAGAAAATGTTTGCAAATCATACACCTTATAAAGTACTTGGATCTAGAAGATATAAATAAATCTTACAATTCAATAATAAAAAGACAGATAACCCAGTTAGAAAACAGGGGCAAAGATTTTCAACTAGACATTCCTCTGAAGATCATATACAAATGGCGAATGAATACATGAACAGATCATTAATATGATCAGTTATCAGTGAATTGCAAGGGAAAACCACAGTGCGATACCGCTTGAAACCCACTAAGATGGCTATAATAATAAAACAGAAAATAATAAGTGTTGGTGAGGGTATGGAGAAATTGGAATCATCATTGCTGTTGGGATTATAAATAGGTGCAGCACTTGGAAAACAATTTGGCATTTCATCAAAATATTAAATACGGAGTTACCTTTTGACCTAACAATTTCACTACTAAGTATATACCAAAAAGAAATAAAAACATATATTCACACAAAAACTTGATATGAATGCCCACAGCAGCATTTTTCATAATAGCCAAAAGGTGGAAATAACCCAAATGTCTATCAATTGATGAGCGAAAGTAAATCAAATAATGATATGTTCTATAATATGGATGAATCTTGAAAAAAAAGTCACAAAAGTCCACATACTATGTGATTTTCATTTATATAAGATGTACAAGATAGATATATCTAAAGAAATAGAAAATATATTAGTGGTTCATTAAAGCTGCGATGTGTGTGTAGCAGAATTTGGGAGTGATAACTAAAGAGTATGAAGTTTCCTTTTGGGGTGATAAAAATGTTTTAAAATGGATTGTGGTGATGGTTGCATAATTCTGTAAATATACTAAAAACCATTGAATTTTATACTTTAAATGGATGAATTATATGGTATGTAAATTATATCTCAATAAAACTGTTACAAAATAAACAAAAATGTAATGACTCTATTCAGTGAAAACTTTATACAGTGGCCATTGCTGCTGGTACAGGGATCACATTTTGAGAACCACTGAATTTAAAGGATCTTCAATTAAGCTTTATTCTTTCCCAAATTCCCAGTTAACCAGAGGTCTCCATTCTCTGACCTTTCTAGTTGAGATTTTATTATAAATTACTCTGTGACATAATGGGTAGCCATAGGATTTCCTTTGTTCTGCCATAGTTTAGGATTCCATAGTTATTAACTGGCATAGCTTAAGAGCTTTATTGTCTATTGTGTATTCTTATTCTGCAGGATGAAGAAGAGGATCTCAGGACCGAACTCAACCTTTTGAAGAAGTACTCTTTCCACAAAAACATTGTGTCCTTCTATGGTGCTTTTTTCAAGTTGAGCCCCCCTGGCCAGAGGCACCAACTTTGGGTATGTATTTAATTACCTTAATCTTATTTCCTAAGACTAAGTCTCACTTGAGGAAATACATTTTCAAAAGCTGAAATGTCACTTGTGTGCACCTGCAGGAAAATTTTAAGAACTCAACTGCTCAAAGTAGTATGACAAAATGTATTCTGATTCCTGGAGATGGGAATGATAAATATGGAATAATTTCAGGAAACTTAAGTTCCCGGAGAGAGGATTCAGGATAAATAGGGGAGACTCAAATGAATACTGGGAATATCTAACATATTTCTTGTCAAATATAGTTTTGCTGCTTTTAACTTTTTATGCACATTTGCTGATAAATTAGAGGTATGGCTAAGGAGACTACCTGATAAACTTGCAAATGATGACTGGATAAGTATCAATTCTAATTAGCATTTGGTATGAACATATGGGTGAATTTAAGTGTCTCTAAGTATATGCACTTATGTAACTACCAGGAGTTCTTTTCTAAATGATTAGTTGACTTATCCTTTTCTTACCCTATTTATGCCTAATGCCTATACTATCACAAATTACTGATCAATGAAATGTAAATTTTAGAGGGCATCTAAAACCTACACTACAGTTGCCAGAATTGTTGCTGCTTCCCACTATAGCAGAAATAGTCAAATGACAAAAAAAAATGAGCTTTGGTCAAAGATATGTTTATTTAAAAAGGGATATTTAGAACATAAGTGAGGTCAGTGTACACTTGCTGGCTACATTTCCATTTCCAGTTCAAGTCAAGAATAACGTTTTCAAAATAATAACTAAGACTTTTCAGAATCTTCAATTGTCAAGGAAAGATTGTTACACTTCATATAATGGACTTTAGGAAGAACAGTGGACATTATAGAAAGGTTTTCAACGAGGGACTGAATTGAAATTGTGGTTCTCAAACTTTAGCATGCATGAGAATCTCCTGGAAAGCCTGATAAAACACAGATGGCTGAGCTCCACCCATAAAGTTACTGATTCAGTTGGTGTGGGGTGGTGGGTCCATGAATTTGAACTTAACAAGTTCACAGGTGATATTGATGCGACTGGTCTGGGTACCACACCTTGAGAACCTTGAATCTTTAATTCTATTTTCTTCCACATATCCAGTTAAGTATATCTTCTACTGTCTGCAACTCCAGTTGACATTTTATTAAATATTACTCCACAGCTTTAATGGCTACTGGTATATTTTTGGCATACAAAATTTTCTTTCAATATATTTTTACTTACAAGTTTTTTTCCTCTTAACTGTATAGCAGTCTCCTTATTGGATATATTTATCAGTACTCAACTCATTCAATCATTTAACATTATTCATTCAGAACCATCTATTTGGGGCCCCTGGGTGACTCAGTTGGTTAGGCATCTGCCTTTGGCTCAGGTCATGATCCCAGGGTCCTGGGATTGAGCCCAGCATCTGGCTCCCTGCTTAGCGGGGAGCCTGCTTCTCCCTTTCCCTCTGCCTGCAACTCCCCTTGCTTGTGTATATGCTCTCTCTCTCTCTCTGTCAAATAAATAAGTGAAATCTTTAAAAAAAATCCATTTGCCACTCCTTCTGCTAGATTCTGGGGATACATGGATGAGCTGAATAGACATGTCCCTGACCCATCAGAGCTTAAAATTCATTTGCAATGACTGGTAGCAGTCAAATAATCACACATATGAGTAGATAATTGGTCAGAAGGGAAATAACATGCTTCTATGTGGGCAAGTAACAAAGGAATCTAAATTAAGTTGGGGAACGAGAAACTCTTCTTTGAGAAACTTCCTTGAACTGTGATCTGAAGGATGAATAAATTATTTGTGGAGGTAAGGGTTTTCATTAAGACCATTTACAATTTCTTGCCCATGTAAATAAAAACAAATAGGAAGTAAGTAAATGACTAATTACCATTTATAAAGTGTATGTTCTGGGCACCATGCTTACAAAGCTGAGAAAATAATTGAGAATGTCCTACATTCCTTTCAGAGTAGAGCTCTTCTGACTCAGGTAATATTAGCAAGATTTTCCAGGGTGCATCTGAATGAATGGCTTTAATTCAGGTTTGTCATGGTTTAAAATGAGCCCCTTTTCTTCAATTACCACAGTTGTACATGTTGTGCCCAATTAATATAGTTAATATGAAAATTAAGCTTTTGTGGCTTATCTGTATTATTGGTTTTGTTAGTCTGTTTCTCTTCTGTTTTGTGAGAGCATACTCAGGTGAAAGACATGCAATAATATTAGTTGTGAACAAATATAAATTAAAAGAGTGATTTTCTGAAAAGAAAATGTTAGTATTCCAAAAGGAAATAAGGTAGAGTTTTAAATATTCATGATTTGGGGCCTATTTTTTTGGTTTCCTTCTTCTATAGCAAAAATTAATTAACTTGCCTACAGTTCAAAAAAAGACATGTTTTGTTGTATTTATATAGCAGTTTTGACACAGGCATTAATGCATAAACCTGTGCTTAAAAAAAGTTTGCTGGGTTGATTATAATAGCTATATTCTCTTTCACATTGGCCAGTCCTCTAGTTAGCTAAAATGGGAAAGGAAATTTACTAGTTGGGCCCCTGATTCATTGATGGCAAAAAGATAAATTTTCTGAGAAATTGAGTTTATTAATAAAGTAATATCTGAATGAGATGCTGTCAATGATAATAGCCTTAAAATAGATTTTCCGTAGCAGTAAAATCATTTGGAAAAAAATGCCCTATAGGAAGGCAATTGACAGTTTCCCCCTTGGAATTGTAGTTTGCCAGTATCTTAGAGAAAATAATCTAGAATTTAAAATAAAAACAAAAGGATAATAAAAACAAATCTAGTCTTAATTTTGAGGTGTAAATTCTTTTGAGATACTTCTTTCCTGTTTTTTCACTTGCAATCAAACTGTTATGGTCTTTCCCCTTGAACTCCAGTCATCACTCAGGCTTGTCTCCTGTACAAGCTTATTTCTAAAGGCATGTAATCATTCTGTTTTCAATAAACTGAATGTTCTTCCTTCTCAGTATATTCAAACATTATCTATCCTTCAAGGCTTAGCTCAAATTCCACCTCCTAGTTAAATATCCCTGGTGTGATACCTCCCTTTCCTCCTTCCACAGATCCTTGGATATGTTCCAACTCTTTTTAATTCCACTAGCCTTTAGAGACTTCCACCAGACAATTGAGCCAGTCTTTGCAGTGTCTTAATCTCTAAACATCACATATAAATACAAGCCATATGGACTGAAACTCTCCAGATATTTTCAGAGAATTACTTTCTAATTCTTCACACTTGACTGGCTTCTCTGCAGATGGTGATGGAATTATGTGCAGCAGGCTCGGTCACTGATGTAGTAAGAATGACCAGAAATCAGAGTTTGAAAGAAGACTGGATTGCATATATCTGCCGAGAAATCCTTCAGGTGAGTCTTCATACATTCTCCCCCGGCCTTGAAAACACCTGGGAGTAATATATGCAATGTACATTATACCTGTCTATATAGGGTGGTTTAAGAATTCTGAACATAATTTCTGGATTAGGATACCAAAAAAACTCAAATGGCTTTAGAGAGAGCAGATTTTCAGGTGATGTCTTTAACTTTAGGTAGACCGCAAGAAGGGTAGCCAGGGCCTTCCAAATCATGGTCTTTAATGGCTCTGTCAGAATGAGACTGTTGTGTTCATTGGATCATGGAAATAACCACTTGGAATATTTATTACATTATTTGGATTTTTAGAGTTCTTTAAAAAAATGTAGCACTATCATTAGAGATTAAGAAAAAAGTAAGACAAAGGTCAGTGTTTTACAGAATGGCCCCAAACCATCCATAACCATTTTGCAGACAGCTATCCTATTTGAATAATGCCCTGCTGGTAAAACTTGCTTTATTTTGAATATCAAATTGGATGAGAACAATCTTCTTAATCTACCACACTCAGATTTTTCTTTGTGACTTAAGTGGTTAGGGTCACCAGAGGAGGATATAAACAGAACTGATGGCACCACTGATATATAATGTTAGAATGTTCTTCCTCCCATCTTAATTGGATTCACTTGTGCTAATAGTGTAACTAGTTGAGTGTAAACTCTGGACTGAGTTTAAATTCCAGTTCAGTATATATTAGCTTTGTGTCCTTGAATCAGTTACTTAATTTTTCAAAATCTCACTTTTCTTGACTATAATATGGGGTGATATTAGTTACCCTCCTCAAAGGATTGCAGTGACGATTTCATAATTTCCTCCATGTAAAGCACTTAGCACAGTCCCTGGCAGAAACTAAAATAAAGGACTCAATAAATATTAGCTGTTTTTACTGTTACTTCTATTATTAATCCCCAGTTATTATCTGGAGAAATCTCCCTGAAGCCAGGTCACGGGTTAAGCAGGGCACAGGTTAGTTTTAGTGGTGAATAGGCTGGATCCAGCATGGTAAGCCAATACAAATTGCAAATGCTTTAAAATGAATTTCCATATTCTCCCAAATTCTCAGCCTACAAGGTTGACTAGAAAATATTTTGGATTAAACAAATGGTTGGATGAGGAATAGAGTAAAACAATGGCTGAGCTATGATATTTAAGATGTCCAGGTCTTCACTCTTATGGTTAGTTGGAAATATGGGAGACTAGAAAGGAAGGTAAATGGCCCAATGTATACAAACACTACTTTTTGGTGTTCTTTTCCTTTCATGGGTGTCCTGATTTATTTTCCTTTCCTTATAGCCAAAAGTAGTATTTCTGGGAACTGGTTGTAGTAATTCCAGCCTAAAGAAAGAATTTTGTCTGAAAAATGCAAATCTGGGCCGTTTTTCTTACCAAAAGGTCTTCCAAAAATACTAAGAACAGTACCAGAAAAAGAGAAAATATATATACTGATGTGACTTTTTGAATAAATATGTATCTATCTATGTGCAGGGCTTAGCTCATCTTCATGCACACCGTGTAATTCACCGGGACATCAAAGGTCAGAATGTGCTACTGACTCATAATGCTGAAGTAAAACTTGGTAAGTTTGTTCTTGTACTTTAAGTGAGGCCCCCAGTATTTTAATGGAGAAGAATCTTTTAAGATAACTGTGTTTTTTATCATGTCATTAACACTATCCTCTACTTACTTAGGCTGTGTTTTCCTTGCTTGCAAAACCAGTCAAAATTTGAAAATTTGTTTGGGAAGGGAGGTGGAGCAGGAGAAAAAGGCACCTTTTACTGCTTCTCTGAAATCATGTAGTTAAAAACTTTTAAATTATAATGGAAGACTTACATTTTGGTCATTGTTTTATTCTCTATTAAATATAGATATTATATTTATTTTAATAATTGAATTATTGAATATTTATTATGTGCAAGTTTCTGTGCCATGGACAAGGAAACAAAAAGACAATTCTTCCACATCACAAAACCATATTTTTCAAATAATATCAAAGAACTTTTAAATTACTTAAGTACAAATTGCTTCTTTGGAATTTTCCCTCAAATATTTAAAGAACTGATATCAGCTGCTCCCATAACATCCAACTTAACTTCAGAATTAGAAATTAAAAGACCAGAAAGTCCCTGGCTTTCTATTCCAGGTTTCAGAATGGCATAATTTATTTGAAAATAACCACACATACTGTCTCACAGGCACACAGGGCACAATTTATTGCATCCTTTAATGTTTAAAATAAATATTGTTGGTTGGTTTGTAAATAATACCATATGAATAATGTCAGTACTATGCAATGGCAGATAACCTCATTGATATAGAATATAAATTACTGGTTATTAAATCCTGTATTATTTTTAAATGATAATCAATTCTTGCCTACCATGTCTCTTGCATGACCTTAAGATAGTTCCCATTTTCCTGATGAACAAAAACAACCACAGCAGGAATTTTTGTTCATTCATTGAGAATGTTTTCATTGAATATTTGTGGAAGAAGCTTGAGGTAATTGTTCTTGAAATAAGGAAAAAGTAATTTCAAGAAAATGTATTATGTCTTATGTGTCTAAAAGCTACAAAGCTAGCAACACAATTTTAAGACACCTTTAATAAATATGGGGAATTTGGATCTCACATTCAAATGTGCAGGATAGATAGTCTATCACAAAGCTACATACACACTATGTTCACATGTGGTAGCACTCCCATATACTTCTGTCAGGTTTCTGGCCAACTCTACCATTTGCAACACAGAAGAGACATTGTAAGTAAATGAAAAGCCACTGAAAATTCTGTCGCAAAGTCCATGCGCTAAAGCTTATGTACTTTACTCTGTAGGATAGACCTTTTAGCACTGGATTAGAATTCAATCAGGCTTATTTTACGTATAACCATTATACATTTGGTTTTACATTTCTCAGATTCCAATATATTTTTAAGCAATATATTATAAGGAGAAGGTTGCAGAAGGCAAACCCGAGGACATCAGAGGGAGTGTTGAAAGGAAAGAGACTGGAAAGTGATCGTATTGTAATTGCAATTGATCAATAATCCTTACATTCTAGTACCGAGGTCATTAAAGAAAGGTTAAATTATACCACTGTTGAGATTTCATCTCTACTTTTATCTAAATTTCAGGCTTTTCTTTTTTCCTTTTCTTCCGTCCATCACTTGTCTTCTATTCTTTTCCCCTTTCATTTTCTTCCCTGAATGTCATATATATTAGCTCATGGACTTCATAGGTATCTCTTGGCCCTTAAAGTTGGCCCTCAGGGGATAGTAAGAATGCTGAGCTTTGATTTAATGTATTCTCAAAAAAATATCTAGATGGGCGCCTGGGTGGCTCAGTTGGTTAAGCGACTGCCTTCGGCTCAGGTCATGATCCTGGAGTCCCGGGATCGAGTCCCACATTGGGCTCCCTGCTCAGCGGGGAGTCTGCTTCTCCCTCTGACCCTCTTCCCTCTCGTGCTGTCTCTCATTCTCTCTCTCTCAAATAAATAAATAAAATCTTTAAAAAAAATATCTAGATAATAAGATTGTTCAACACCCAGTGATGATTTTCACATATTACAGACATTTCTTGTTTTGTTAAATCCTTCCTTAAAGACTACTTTAAACTCTTAACTTTTTAATTTTTCATTTCTTCTCCTAAGTTTTTCAAACTACTGTTCAGTCAGTGTTGTTCTCCATCTTTTAGATTCCTGGAAACCATTCTAAATTAGAAAATCTACTTCATTTTTCATCCCTGAAAAAATTCATCTACTTTCATTTTTCATCTTATTTTTTCTGGACTAAATAACCCCAGTCTACTTTAGCCTTTTTTTCTGTTACTGAGGATACCATACTAAATATTTTCATATAATGTATCCCACAGATGAATAGAAGACTGAACTTTTATAGTCTAAGCTAAGATATAGATACCACAGTAAATATTTGCATCTGATTCAGAAGATCTGTAGAAAAACTTAAACTAAATTCTAGCAGAAAACTCATTTTTCTTCATTGGTGTAATAGAACTTTCTAATGTCATGAGTGAGGCTTCCCAATAAACTACTAATAGGTTTTAGATTTCTTAGATGTTGTTTATAGTGCTGGTGTTCCTCCAGCTTGGTGGCAGGTCCAAACACTACATATGTTATCACTTCAGAGGTTCAGGGTATACTGATGGAAATTTATTTTTAATATTCATGGTAAACTTTCAGCCAAACCTACTGTAGATTTATAATAGCACTTCTGAGTCTCTTTCCAACATAAATAGCAGCAAAAGCCTATTTCCCAGTATTCCTGGAGTAGACTTCATGGTAAAGTTTTCTGGGCTGGAATGAAAATCTGTTATCCATTGTGGATTTTCTATTGGCTTTCCAAGTTAAAGCAATAACTTATTGAGCTTTTGTTACTGATTAATTATTTTGACATATGCTGAATTTTGCAGTGGATTTTGGAGTGAGTGCCCAGGTGAGCAGAACTAATGGGAGGAGAAATAGTTTCATCGGAACACCATACTGGATGGCACCTGAGGTGATTGACTGTGACGAAGATCCAAGACGCTCCTATGATTACAGAGTAAGTGTGAGCATTCAGATAGTGGGAATCAAAGTTTGGAAAGGACTTTTGACTAATGTTTATTTTAAAATGATAAAAGAATAAAAAGCAGGCAACTCCTTCTTTCATGTTAAACTCTAATAAGAAATACTAGTTGCTATTCATATATGTGGTTTGATTATATGCATAAATATAATATTTTTTAAGAATTTAGACAAAGTAGACCATGGGGAATTACCTATATTTGAGGAATAATGTCTAATTCATGTTGCTTGCAACTTCTTGGGGAAAATATTATATTATGTGACTTTATATGGAAATTTAACTTCCAGGGGCAGAGAACTTTGTAAACTGAAAAATGAATGAATGTAAAGCCAATTATTAATCCCCACAGTAACTAAGCTCCAAAAAGAAAAAAATAATAATTTGATTACTCAGGGTAATGGAGAAAATCCTTGTCATGGTTCACTTCCAAACCACTGAAAATCAGTGGAATAGACAAATTAACAATTCATGCTATTTATTAAAATTTCCACTGAAACTGCAATTTGGACAATATACATCTACATACACATTTCAAAAAAGCTGATGTGGAAAGAAAACTCTCCATTTGCTATAGACTGGAAAAACCACACTCACTCTTCACATTATAAGTCATCCAAACAATTCATTGTGGTTTTCGTTATGTGGAACCTAGGACTCAATACTTGAAGTTGATAATTCAAGTCTCATCTCTTTTCCCTTTCCCTTAAATGCCCTCTGCTTGATCTGCAAGCAGATCTATTGAGAGCTTATAGTCTAGTGCTATTACAGGCTATGGAGACTATGGAAGCATAATGTTCTTTTAAGTGGCTTGCTGTAAAATCTTTTAAGTGGATGCCTTATACCTCTACAAATCTTTGCAGTCTTCCAAGGACTTTCACTTATATTAATTATTTATTTTTAATTTTCAGCCCCATGTAAATTGAAAGAAAGCTTCAACTTACACCATCACAATAATCCTTTGAAGCTAAGAAATCTATTAACTGAGATTCTCAGAATTCAGTTAACTTGTGTAGGAGTCATCCAGCCAGGCAGTGTACCTCCAGCCCTGTGCTCTTTTCACATTCTAAAAAACAAAGTACAGTTAATAGTGAGGATAATTTCCTTGAGCCTCTTAGAATCTAATTTCCTAGACTAACAATAATTATATTCTCAATTACTATATTCAGGGAACTGACTAAAAGTGCTTTTATATAGGTTATTTCATTTAATACTCATACCAGTGCTATGAGATGCATATCATTATTATCTCTATTTTATATACAGTGAAACTGAGGTACAGAGAGTTAAATCATTTACCTAAGATGGCACAGCTAATACATCTGTGTGATAGGATTTATTCACAGCAAGCTCCTTTTGCTATTTCAGTTAAGGCCACAACAGCGGTACATTCAAGGTGAATTTTCCTTACACTGAACCCTGTCCCATATCATCCTGTTGTGTAGTGCAGTTACTGGCTGATCACAAGCTCAGCTAACGTCTTCCTATAACACCAGCCTATAATGAAGCTTCATTGCAGAAAACCCATAAAATGGCTCTGGCATTGACACTCCCCCACCCAAAGACTGTTTTGAGATTCTAAATACTATCAGTTTCCCATTGTTAAATTACTTTTTGGGGTCATTTTCTCTTTTGCAGAGTGATGTGTGGTCCGTGGGAATCACTGCTATTGAAATGGCCGAGGGGGCTCCTCGTGAGTAAAAATGTTTATTTATTAAAAAGTTGGGGAAACATGCTGTACAAATCTGCCACTTGTACCAGTCAACTTGTACTGGTCACACAGGTGCCACACTATGCCAAACTGTAAATGGTGGCCTTTTCAATGATTATCAAATGTTCTAGTCAGAATGGCCAGATATATCTATAAAGATTTTGCGCTTTTCCCTTATGATACCTTATTTTAGGCTATTGACTGTTGTTTCAATTTGGCCTCAAAGTATTTGGTACTGACAGTCCTGACTAATGAGAATCTAAAGTCATTCTAGTACATAGTGATTGGTGGAATATTTAGGTTCCAGAACATTTATAGTCACACACTGCTACTGCTTCAGAATGTGATAGTTAAGAAAATCTTCCAGTGTGTCATTGAAATCAAACCAATCCCCTACCTTGGGAATTCAGGTCTTCTTGTTTTTGTTTTTGTTTTTGTTATTGTTTTTGTTTTTTCATTTGAAGTAAGTCCAGCTCACCTTTGGTGCTTTCTTTGCTCCTTTTAGCCGCTCCAGTGCCCTTAATTGCTCAGAAGGCTCAATTTCCTCTTGTTTCTCCCTCATCTCCATCATTTAAATCATCTGTCAGAATCCTGTTCTCTCAGGACACTGCTTTCTGATAGAAAAGTGAAATGGAAAATGTGAACTTGGATATAAATGATTGCTAACCATCTAATGTATGACCCCCATAAGCAGAGCATATTCATTTCTTCAATATCTAAATCTAAAGATATAAATGATAAATGCATTCCTGGTATTGTTGGATGAGAAGTGAGGAAATGCCTGGAGTGTTTGCTGGAGGGCAGGCAAGTGGGGGTGGAATTTCTTTGCTTCCACCTTTCTAAGGAGGTCCTGTAGGTTCCCACGTTCCTACATGCTCTATCTCCACAATGTCCACCCAACAAACTTTATAAATTTGGGCTATCTTGGTACTGTGTTTCAAGGTCAATGGGAGTAATTTCAAGGGGTAGAAATAATGGTAACATGATTGCTAAGAATTCCCGGTGTTCCTTAGAATATCACAGAAGAGGCTTAGATTAAATCTGGGACAGATATGAAGGTCAGGCTGCTGCTGTCTCTCTTTTAGTGCCCTCCAAAACTACAAAGTATGTATGTTGGGTGAATAAAAAATTAATGATGGAAAAATTATATATACCACATATATAAAATTGAAATAAGAATGGGAAGATGCATATTATTCCTCCTCATCTCTTGAATATTTGTTTTTGTGAACATACTTAGATTATATGAGATTGATCAGCAGCTTCTCCTCCTCTTTTTCTTTCTCCTCCCCTTCCCCTCCCCTTCCTCCTCTTCCTCTTCTTCTTTCTCTTCCTCTTCCTCTTCTCTCTCTTCACAATATGGTATTGCGTATGAGTACTGATTCATGTTTTTATTTAGAATACATGATTGCATCAAGTAGTATCTATTTTTTCTGTTGTTTCTGAGTGTTCCTTACCATTTCTTTTCAAAACACTAGCTTTCTACGTTTTGCAGATTTGTATTTCCTGGTTCGTCTTTATTTTGTTTCATTTTTCTCACTCCAAAATATTAAATCATGGGAGAAAACTCACGGAAGGAGTGCAGAGGAGTTTTGCATGGAGTACACAAATGGCAAACTTCTTACAAAAGATGTGTAAGGACCAGGAGATTCTTAATTCACAATGAGAAAAAAAAATCGGACAAACATGCCTAAATGAGTAATTGGAATGCTGCAACTTTGGTCATGCGCAACTTGAAGTAGCCACACTGCTAAAATATTGGTCTTTTGCCAGCCTCCTATATTGCCTGGAGTATTAACTTTGGATGGAAATTATTGTCATTAATTTAACTGCAGAAATCCTCCAGGTTTTGATAATTATCATCTCAGAGGGGGTGGCCCTCCAAAGTGACAGTTACATGATAATTGCCTCTGAGGTCCAGATAACAAAATTTCTTTCTTTCTTGGTGAGTCTCTCCCAGAGAAGTAAAAAGAAAGGGAGAGTAACTTCTCACTGAAAGGGTGCTGTAGAGGCTGTCAGAGGAGGGAAGATCTGTACCATGCCACACCAGGACCTTCTTAAGTGCTTGTGTTCATTCTTCTTTATTTGTTTTGTTTCTTAAATTCCACATGAGTGAAATCAAATGGTGTCGGTCTTTCTCTGATTTATTTCATTTAGCATTATACCATCTATGAAATGTATTTTTAGAGGAGATTTGCTATTTCAAAGGAATGAAACTCTAGTGGTGAAACATTTAGGCAGGTTAGATATGGGATAAAGGGAGTGTTTACTGGCATTCCTAAAATTAGACTATATAGAAAACGTCTACTGTTTGACATACCTATGTGCTCCATTCCTTTGTGGAATTCTCATTTCCCTCAATGAAAACTTCCCTACTCTATGCTCTGACTCTTGACCCCTGGGGATGTTGTTGGTTGACTGCATGATGCTCAAATGTTAATAAATGACAATTGTTTAATATTGTACAAACCCACTTAAAATATGTTTAAAGGACAGAATCTAGTGACTGGACAGAGTAAAGGAATGAAGAGAATCAAATATGATCTTGATTATTTATTTACTTATTTATTTGAGAGAGAGCGTGTGAGAGAGAGTGTGCACGCAGATGCAAACCCATGAGTTGGGGGAGGGGGGCAGATGGGGAGAGAAAGGGAGGGGGAGAGAATCTCAAACAGACTCTGCACTGAGCCTGATGCAGGGCTCAATCTCAAGACTCTGGGATCATGACCTGAGCCAAAAAAAAGAGTTGAACCCTTAACTAACTGAGCCACCCAGGCACCCCGATCCTAATCTTTTCAGCTTGGGGATAATTCTGCCCTCAATTATAAACTTGTACGTCTGTTAATTTATACTTATGTAATTGAAAAAACATGACCTTTGAACAATTGCCTTTATATCACTCTAATGAAAGAACCCTGGGGAGTTTTTTCCTACTATTACAAGAGGCCAGTTCGGCATTGTCGTTTTTCTGGATATGTATTTTGGAGGAGAAAGGGTGACTCTAAAGAGTCATTAATATCAAATTGTCCTCACATGAATGACACACTTATGGTATTAGATAAAATTTGTTGGTGAGGATGTGGAGAAAGCGGAACCCTCTGGTACTGTTGGTGGGAATGCAAGTTGGTACAGCCACTCTGGAAAACAGTATGGAGGTTCCACAAAAAGTTAAAAATAGAACTACCCTATGATCCAGTAATTGCAGTACTGTGTATTTACCAAAAAACTACAAAAACATTAATTTGAGAGGATATATGCACCCCTACATTTATTGAAGCATTATTTACAATAGCCAAATTATGGAAGTGCCCATTGATAGATGAGTGGATAAAGAAGATGTGAAATGTATATATACATACATATATATATTCTGTGTATATATGTGTGTGTGTGTATACATTCTGTATACACACACACACAAACACACACATGAATATTATTCAGCCATAAAAAAAGAATGAAATCTTGCCATTTGCAACAACATGAATGAGCTAGAGTATTATGCTAAGTGAAATAAGTCAGTCAGAGAAAGACAGATACCATATGATTTCACTCATATATGGAATTTAAGAAACAAGACAAACAAAGAGAGAGAGAGAGAGAAATCAAGAAGCAGACTCTTAACTATAGAGAAAAGACTGATGGTTACCAGAGAGGAGGGTGGGTGGGAGGAGGGGTGAACTAGGTGATGGGGACCAAAAAGTACACTTTTCTTGATGAGCACTGAGTAATGTACATAATTGTTGAATCATTATATTGTATACCCGAAAATAATATAATACTGTGTGCTAACTATACTGGAATTAAAGTTAAAAACTTAATAAAATAAAAAATATATATATGAAGAAAAAAAATTTAAAGCATGGCTCTCCTTCGGGGATTTTTTGCACTGCCAGTTTTCTTTAATCAAAACTCAAGAGGAAATAAGTGAAGTGAGACATATTTAAATGCTTATAAGAAAGCTTATAGAAAATTCTCAGACCAACAAGGTAATGAATTTATATGGCACATAATGGAATAGGCTTTTCTTTGTATAGCTGTGTGTTTCAAAAAGTGAATGGAAGTCCTATAATTTGGCACAGACTTGAAGTGCCAGATAGTTAAAATCTTTATTATAATACCAATAGCTAATATTTATTAAGTGCCTACTCTATGCCAGACACTTACATGTAGGTTAATCGTCATGGCAACTCTTTGAAAGAATTCTTAATTTTTTTTCAGATAAAGAAACCAAGGCACAGATAGGTTAATTTGCCTGAGTCACAAAGGAAGAGCTAGGATTTGAACTCAAGTGATCTTACTCTAGAGGGTGTGTTTTAATAGTTAGTTACACTATATCTCCTCTTTTCCTGGGACTGTCGGTTTCCAAAACAGATTCTTCTCATCTTTTTAGACTGCTAAATCGTTCTTTATATATTATTGTGCTTAGCTACTCATTTGGTTGACTTTTTAAGCCTATAATGACATATTTCAATTTTATAAGTATAGATACCTATAACACAAAATACAGAAGAGTGTTTGTCTCTATTTTTTGTTTACTTCTCTAGATAGAGATCACCAATCATACATTTTGAAATTTTTATCCAGTGTAGTTTATTATTAATTTGCCACACCTGTCAATGGTGAAACTTGAGGATCTTATATAATGGACTGTTTGTATGAAAATGAACTTTTCCTGTAACTACATTATTTTGTATCTATTTATTTCTTAGTGTCTATTCAACATGATATGTGAAAGAACACTGAGAAGCCCCTCTGGAATGAGGAGTGTGCTCTGTTGTTACCCTTCTCATTCATTCTAAACACATCTATTTTCCTTTGCAGCCCTGTGTAACCTTCAGCCTTTGGAAGCCCTCTTTGTTATTTTGCGGGAATCTGCCCCCAAAGTCAAATCCAGTGGATGGTAAAGATGAATGACTTAATCTCCTAAACACATTAACTTGCCATTTTTTATGTAGGAAATGAGTTTTAATTAATTTCGTAGTCCTTTTTCAACATCTTTGTTGGACAGTATTTCCTAAAAACTAATACGTTAACTGGGGGGTCTTAATGATTAGTTTTCATTAAGAGCTAGCTAGCCAACTAGACATAAGTAATACCTTCCATAGTATATTATGATAACATCACTGCCCTGGAATTAATGGCATGTTCAGTTGTTTCTCCATTAATGGCATGGACCAATAGAAATCATTTGTGACATTTCTCACTGTGCCTAGATAGGCAGTCAGTGATTGTGATATACAGCTCAGTTGTTCAGCCCATTAAACTAAACATCCACAGACCTGGAGAAGAGGATTTGTTCTCCCAGGGTGTTACAGACCAACTAACTTGGGAACCCTTTATACTGAAGCTTTTTGATTGAGTGTCAGAAGCTCTTGCTTATTAGTATTTATTGCTTGCCCTGCTAGAAGTGGTGGCTGTGATTTGATTGCTGACATTTTTCCTTGTGATTCAATTTAACCCTTCCCCCAGATTCAGGCTTTCTGGACACTTCTGTTTTCATGAACCATTTTATAAGATTAGTTAGTCCTGGTGCTATTAACACCTTTTTTTTTTTAAATCATTGCATTTACAACTATGTAGCTCAAAATGCATGTAGTCAAGTGAAACATTCAGACTTCAAAGAATGACTTCTGTGGGCTGACCAATCTAGATACATGTTCAACATATATCACATTAACCACTCCATTGCCATCCCACCAATTGACTTTTTACCATGTACATACTTCTGAACTCATTGAAGTTTCTATTACTATTTAAATGCCATTGACTCTGGCTCATCTGAGGTTTGAGTGGTATTTTATAATGTATATTGTCAAGCTGCAGGACATATGGCAGTTGAAAAGACAATTATAACTAGGCAATTCTCTCCAAAAATATGACCTGCAGAGTGGCATATGTGTGACGATGGGAGAAGATATGGCAAGCCTGAGGATGCTTTTTTATCCCTTTGACTCATTTCTTTTAGGTCTCGCAAGTTCCACAATTTCATGGAAAAGTGCATGATAAAAAATTTCCTATTTCGTCCTACTTCTGCAAACATGCTTCATCACCCTTTTGTTCGGAATATAAAAAATGAAGGACACGTTGTTGAGTCATTGAAGAAGCATCTTACAGGAATCATTAAAAAGAGACAGAAAAAAGGTTGGAATATGTCAACTTTCATTTTACTGGAATGGATATTTAGATGAGAGCTGAGTTTATTCATTTTTGTCAGGAAAAATAATATTTAAGAATTAGATTAAAAGTAAAAATTCTGAGGCCTTCCATATTTAGTTTTTCCACTAATATGCCATGTGCAGTTAATTATCTCTCCCCTGATCATCTGTATATATATGATTATAAATTGTCACCAATTACAACTGGCAAGTGTTCATATTTATAAAAACCATGAAAGCATCAAGAAGAATTTTGTGATGTGCCAATTTTATTTTAAGAAAACTCCTAACTAAACAGATAAAATAAATAAAAAAGGTAACAAAATCTATATCTTACTGTTCTTTTTTGGTTGATATTTTAATTAACTCCAATGAGATAAATAGATTTGTAATTGTCTATTGACGACTGTGAATTTTGAAGTAATTTCTGTGTACCATACTAAGTTTGTTTTATGCACTAATCTCCAAGTATAAGAAGTAATTAAAAGGACTAATTTATACAAGTAAAAGTTAGTTTCTATATATTAATGCCAAAAATGGCAGGATGGATTTTCATCAAATCCAGATTAAACTACTTAGGAAGTTTTAACTTTGTATTGTATGGCATATTCCACGTTTAAATTGGGGCTCCATGGGCAGTGTTGACAGTGGTGATATAATGGAAAAGGGGAAACTCGAAACATAGTCATTCTCAGAATAGCTACAGGATAAATTGCAGTAGAGTTTCTTCCATCTACATAACTATATGTATCCTATTTTGGAGTGAGAAGCAGCAGAATTTAATTTATTTAACCATGGGTGAAAATTCACTGGACCAGCATCACAAAAACCAGCTAGTCTCAAATGGGTGCAGGAAGACCCCATTTCTATTTGAGAATTTGCTAATTTCCAGAGTTGCAAGACTTCCAAAATATTACCTCCAGGAAAAGTCACATTTATGTGGGAATTACATAGATGTAAATACAGTTGCCCTAAACACTTTTATTTAGGAAATTCAAAAGAACACTCTTGTTTGTAAGCTTCTATATTTCAGTACAGCACAGCAGAAATGAAAGAAGCTGAACATGTTGAATGTGTTAAGTGTAAAATCCAGAATTTAGATTTTTACTTTCTCATTGGAAAGACCAATGATCCTGAAGTGAATTACAAGACTAAGGTAGATTACACTAATATCTGCTGCTTTTGCCTTGTTTTTTTCTCTTTTATAAAAAGGAATACCTCTGATCTTTGAAAGAGAAGAAGCTATTAAGGAGCAATACACCATGAGAAGATTCAGGTGTGTTAGATAAATTACAAATATAATTTGTTGTTAGCAATTTATGTAAGACAGTTGATTCTATTCTGTTGGCATTTGGCTCAGAAGAGTTTAATCCCTTCTGATACAACAAATAACAGCTCTCTCTATATTTTCAAGAGATATTTGAATGGAAATGTTAAGGAAAGATTGTTATTACTACTCAAAGAATCTTTAATTTCTGGCACTAGAATGATCAGGTAGAATATTAGATAATTAATATTGAGTATATTTGTAATACAAAGAATATTTCAGACATTACAGGAATGATTCAAAAAAATTTGCTGAAAGTATTTTTATTGCACAAAACTTCCATTTTTTAAAATAAAGGCATTTTCCCCAAGTGGCTTCACTTTACTGACAATTATTACTATATAGCAATCATTTGTATGTTTATTTCTAGAGGACCTTCTTGTACTCATGAGCTTCTGAGACTGCCAACCAGCAGTAGATGCAGACCACTTAGAGTTCTGCATGGAGAACCCTCTCAGCCAAGGTGGTTACCTGATCGAGAAGAGCCACAGGTCCAGGCACTTCAGCATCTACAGGGAGCAGCCAAGGTGTTCATGCCACTACAGGCTCAGGACAATGCACCTAGGCCTCTACAGGGGCAAGCCCAGGCACCTCAGCGACTACAAGGGGCAGCTCGGGTGTTTATGCCACTACAGGCTCAGGTTAAGGCTAAGGCATCTAGGCCCCTACAGATGCAGATTAAGGCACCTCCACGACTACGGAGGGCAGCCTGGATGCTCATGCCACTACAAGCTCAGGTTAAGGTACCTAAGCCTCTACAGGTACAGGCCCAGGTACCAAAAGAGCAGCAGGTTCAGGCTGCTCAGGCCCAGCCCCAGACATCAGAAGAGCCACAAGATCTGGACCAGGTACCAGAGGAATTTCAGGGGCAAGATCATGAACCTGAACAACAACAAAGGCAGGGTCAGGCCCCTGAACAACAGCAGAGGCAGAACCAGGTACCTGAACAGCAGCTGGAGCAGAACCAGGTACCTGAACAGCCAGAGGTACAGGAAGAGGCTGCTGAGCCTACACAGGCAGAGAATGAGTCAGAGGAACCTGAGGCATTACGAGTACATGCCCAGGTGTTCCTGCCCCTACTGTCACAGAACCACCATGTGCTGTTGCCACTACATTTGGATACTCAGGTACTCATTCCAGTAGAGGGGCAAACTGAAGGGTCACTTCAAGCACAGGCCTGGGCACTAGAGCCCCCACAGGCAGTTGGCTCAGTTCAAGAACTGATAGAGGGACTATCAAGAGACTTACTTCGAGCACCAAACTCACATAACTCAAAGCCACTTGGTCCACTGCAAACCTTGATGGAAAACCTGTCTTCAAACATGTTTTACTCTCAACCAGAACAGGCACAGAAGAAAAAATCGAAAGTTTCTAGTCTAAGGCAGGCATTGGCAAAAAGATTATCACCAAAGAGGTTCCGGGCAAAGTTATCAAGGAGACCTGAAGAGTTTGAGCTCTCAGATTTAGAAGCCTGCAGGCAAAGGCGCCAGCGCAGATGGGAGGATATCTTTAATCAGCATGAGGAAGAATTGAGACAAGTTGCAAATGTAAGAGTTTCAGATATTTTTACTGAATCAAATATGCAGAGAAAACATGCTAGTACATGCTCATGTTTCCCTCTTTTAAGACCAAATGAAATAAATATTCCTTATGTGCCAGAGAAGATTAATTTGATAATTTGTACTTCAAATAAGTTATCTTAAAATTTACAGATAATTATGACTAAATTTGAAAAAGAAAAATTGGCTTGGATGATCCAGGTAATTGCTTAATATCTTTGTAGAGATATAGCTTTAATTATTAACTAATAAAGGGACACCGTAACGACATTTAAAATTACTATTTTGGATCTTTGAAAATTACTGTCATAGTTCCAAGTTTCAAATATAACTCATTAAAAATAAACACAGAAAACAACTTTGGTTTTGCTCCCCAACCTCTAAGTTAATTTGTCTTTCTTCCGATAGAATGCTGAACTGTGCTATTTAAGTGAATTATACTATTTTTTTTTAATTTCAGGATGTTTAAATCAAAGTTAAAATAAAACAGAACAGCAGTTTACAAAACATTTTGTATTTACCATATGTATCACTTGTCTCACTAATTTTCCACCATTTTACATAATTAATCAATGAAATCTCTGCATAGAACATGACACAAGTTACAGATTCATCTCTGGACTCTTTTGAAATGCAATATGTTAATATCATTATCTTATTTGCAAATAGTCAAAACTTCATTCTTTCAAATTCTCTAATATAAGTGAATATAATTTGGTTGGTGTTGATGAATTCAATCTGGCAGATCTAATCTGACAATGAAGGGTTTGTGGGCTTTATAAGCAAATTAATGAGGTCAATAGGATTAGGAGAGCACTTGTTTTCTAATACTTCACAACATCCGTTTACATAAAGGAATCCTAAATTAAACCCTGGTATCAACATCAGTTCATCTAATAATAATTAATGTAGTAATTATAAATGTATCTTGTCTGAATGTCTGGATAAGTGAATCTTTTGGCTTGTCCATTGAGCCAATTAAACTAATGTTATTTCCCTAACACGTTTAACAAGCAACGAAAGGCCCAAAAGGGGAAATGGGTGTCTACTCTCAATAAAGGGGGAGATAGGAAGAGAAAGAAACCATATAGAGAAGTGGAGGTATGAGTCTAGAATGGTGATATTTGCCTGAAATTAAGGCATCTAAAATGCTAGTGACTAATTTCAATGAGGACTAGTAACAATTAAATCTAATGGGTTTTGCATTTATGAAAGAGACTTGTATGCATCCTTGCAAGACTCATAGCTTTGCTAGCATGACACATACTTATTGTCATTTGGTGTTTTAAATGTACATGTGAGAAGCCATTCTAAACTGGAAGAAAAAGTCAGTAAATAATATTTACCAATCCCATGACTCTAGGATCTTGTACAGGCATTTATATCTTTGTATGTGATTTTTAAAGAAAATATAAAAAATTGATACTAACTCAAAGTCATGGATCTTTTGAATTGCCTAAAGATTTGTTAGCATTTAGAGATGTATGTGAATTCTTCAACTAACCAAAGAAAAAACTCATTTTCATTACTCTCTGTGAATTGAAGAAATAATACTGATTGGCTTCAATGTGAAAACAGAAACTTTCCTAAATTCCTAGAGCTCAGTTAGTGAGAAATATTTGCACTGCTGTGTTATAGATCTTCCACTGCACAGGAGGACCGAGCTTCATAGTTATAATTGCCTACTAAATGTGACAGTTTGGGGTTATGAGTTAAGCTTTAAACCAGATATTCTTAACCTGGGTCTAATAGATTAGCTGCAGGTGTTCAGTGATCCCCCTGAAAATATATGCAGACATGTGTGTCTATATGCAGTTAGAATCTCCTCAGATTCTAAAGGGAATCCAGAACCAAAACCTATTAGAATCTACTGGTTTAAATCAATTTTAATATTTGAAAATTATTCTAAGTTGTACATTGTGAAGATAAAGTTGCTCCTATCATTTGCTTTTTAACAACAATTAAAATATTTATTATCCTTTTTGTTTCAAAGGACAAAGAAGATGAATCATCAGACAATGATGAAGTATTTCATTCAATTCAAGCTGAAGTCCAAATAGAACCATTGCAACCATACGTTCCAAATTCTAAAGGAAATGAGGTAAGTTTCTCAGTATGAGTTGCTGTGACATTAATAAGTGCCTAGAACAGTGGTTCTTAAACTTTTTGGTCTCAGGGTATCTTTATACTCTTAAACATTGAAGACCCCAAAAACCTTTTGTTTATGTGGATTGTGTCATTCAATATTTAATGAATTAGACATTAAAATAAAACATTTTAAATATTTATTAATTCATTTAAAAGTAAATAAAAGTATTACATGTGAACATAAGAAACAAAGTTTTAATAAAAAATAAGTATTTTATATTTTACTTAATGGAAAACAACTGGATTCTCATATCTGCTTCTGCATTCAATTTGTTGCCATATGTTTAGTTTGAAGTATATGAGTAAAACTGGCTTCTCACATATAAGTAGCTGGAAAGGGAGGATTTTCATAGCTTTTTCAGATAATTGTGGATATTCTTTGATAATACACCAAAACTACAGAAGTGGAATTTAAAACCCTATCAGTGAAATTTTGCATATTCAGAAATATTAAAATCCATTGTTCTATTGTATACTATGAATAGATGTTTTGCTCATGCACAATTTTGTATCTTCATACATTGGTTAGTTGGAAAACATTGGTTCAATGTGTATGTAGATCTTTCCAAATATTTACACATTTCATTATACAACATCAATAAACAGCATTTGTTAATGTCACCAATTTCATCAGAAAAATGACTGAGTATTGATAAGTCAAGTGCATGGTGACAGATAATAAATTTAAAATTTTAATTTTCACTTCAAAGCTCAATTTTATCATTGCTAACAAATAACATCAGTTGTTTTTTTCCTTGAATTGACAGGCTAACTTCATTGATTTTAAATAAAATGCCTGCCAAATACCCAAGTTGAATAATCATAGTTTGTCTTGTCAGTCATTCTTTTAAGTAAAAATGTTGCCAATAAAACCTTGGGTAGTTCAGCTTGTAACACAATCACACATACCTTTTCCCTTGATTGTTCTGGGATGTAGTTTATGACAGGTTCTGGGTCATTTAATATGTGATTTATTTTTTTATATTCATATGAATAATCAAGTCAGTCCTCATGTCTAGGTTGACTTCTGTTTTCAGGACTATATTAACATCATTTAGCTTAGGGTATTGGTGAGGCCCAAGTTGCCGTTTCAATTCCCATGTGGACAAGGTATTATCATCATAGCCAGCATTCTTAACAGCTAGCCACCTAAAAATTTTTTGGTCACTAAGGATGAGCAAGTTGCTGGGTGAAGAACTCAGAAATTCTTGCCTTACTAATAGTGGGTCAGGAGTCTCATTGTTGTCCTTACTCAGCACAAGGGCCCTAGATCACTATATTTCTTTCTTCTAGATGCTTCAGAGTAGGCCACTATGATGACTTTCATGGACAATTATTCTTTTTAAAATATGTTACTTCTGATACTAGCAGTCCTCTGAAGTAAATAACAGAGTATTGCTTTATAAATACTAACCACTGGCAGAAGGAACATAAGCTGGATTGTATTATTTAATTACAAGAGGCCTTATGTCTCTCTCTCTCTGCCTTATTAAATTATGACTTTCCTCCTACTCTCAGATAATAATTATTACCTTAAACATATGTTTTTAAGCAGTAAATATAATGAGTTGTGCCTGATTGGTTTAGAATGCATCATTTGCCTTATATATACTATTCTTACTAATCATCTTCCCATTTTTTGGACCAAATACAGCCAATTCATATCAGGTATTAGCTTTTCTTATTTTTGGCCTTTTCTGAGTAATCCTGGTCTCTGGTTTACTAATGTCAATAAACTTTCTGAGACCAGTTTCATAAACCAAGAGGCCTAGACGGGGTCAATATGATGCCAGGTATCTGAATCAAATGTGGAAAAAGTCAGATGCTTATCATGCATACTGCCAAACATCTGGTTACATTTGGAAGCGTTCATTTGCAAAACATGTGAACAATTAACAACATTTTTTGTTTCCTACCCATCTGTCTGATAGAGTTTAAAGACAACCTTAATAAGTCACTACATAGAGAGAAATAGTGTAGTAAGGTTAGTGTAGTTTCTAGAAACTATAGAGTGACTTTATCACATGAAAATGCTAGATTTTTAAAAAATGTAACATGTTTAGTTTTTCTTTCTAAGGAATCTACTGTGGCTGCCTCATTGAATGTCAAAATAGCCTATTTTTTGGTTAGCTAAAAGCTATTTTAAGTAGAAACCTAATGATATAAAACTAAATGAGGCAAGGTAATACTACATGGTCCTATCTACTAATGTTGGCAGAAAATAAATCTGCCCCACTGACAGATGCTGGCTCATTTTATGTGATCTTAAGTATTTTTCTATATTAGATGAATGAATAATTATTAGAAACCAAATTAATTCATTTAGAATTGAAAAAGTATTGGAACACTGATTATGACATTACAGTCCAATTGTAAAGTTTCTGGAAGGTGGGACACTTCTGACACTTGAGAGATTTTAATGATGTGTTGTATGTGTGTTACAACTTTTGAAAATCTAGGGTTAACTTAAAAGGGTAAGTGAGTGAGAAGTTTGAGCTTAAATTCTGAGAAATTTGGACTCTACATAAAAGTAATATGAAAACATAGAAAGCATTAAATTAGCAGTTGAGGGACTTACATTCTGATTATAAATATTCTTTAACTTGATGTAAAATTCTTAGAAAAGTGATTTTTCCTCTCTGAGGTACAGATTCCTCAAAAATAAAATTAGAGTGTTTGATTATATAATCTCCAGAATCTGTTATTATACTAAAATTCAAGAATACCATGAGAAATTATGGTTAAGCAGTTCTAATGTTATACTATAAGTAATTATTAAAATACAATCTAGTTATGAAAATCAGATTTTGTAAGTTAGATTTTTAGTAAACTATCTTTATATGAAGAAAGGAATTTTTCCCATGACTTAATATTTCAAAAGAATTTATGATAAAATATTTTACCAAAGTATTTCATTGTCTTTAAGGTCCAAGAAAGATCTACTTCAGTGCCTTACAATCAGGATTGTGAACACCATGTCAAGTTCTCTTCAAAGTATGTTTCTCTGATTACTATATTCAAATTACTCACGATTTACTATTACATGGAACATTAAAGCATATTTATTTGGCACTAAGTTTTGTGTAAAGTGAAAACTAAAATATTAATGAAAACATCATCACTAGTGATATTGTCAGCCTGTATTTAAAATGTTAACTGCAGTAATTCATTAACTAGATCTTTCATATTTGGACATACTGTAGTCTTAGTATCATTTAGTTTAATAATTTGCTGATAAGATCCACAATTTAATAAAAGAAATGTCAATGAATTCTTTGACAGATTTCAATTGGTACTTTATAATAAAAAGATGTGAAACTTCATATGTATCATGTACTTCAATTATACATCTTATCATGTAGTACATCATGAATATCATGTACTTGTACTACATGTTAAAATACACACACAATTCCTAACTTCAGAAGCTGATGCTATGGAATGGGCAAGCTTGAAATGACCTATGGGAAAAATCAAATCTAAAACTCAGTATTATATTAATGATATTTTATCCTGGTAACTATATTTTTTATCTCTGTAATATTGGTGATCTTCAGTAATTTTCAAAGATCATATTTCATATTTTAGATGTTATGTGCAAAGTGTTATATTTGAAAGCTAAATAAATTTGTTTATTTATTTATTTAAAGATTTATTTTAGAGAGAAAGAAAGAGCACAAGCAGGAGAGGCAGAGGCAGAGGGAGAGAGAATCTGAAGCAGACTCCATGCTGAGCACAGAGCCTAATGTGGAGCTCAGTCTCACAACACTGAGATCACAACCTGGGCCAAAACTAAGAGTTGGACCCTTAACTGATTGTGCCACCCAGGTGCCCCTGAAAGCTAAATTTTAATGTAGATTTTCCTTGAAAATCATACCCCTTCCAACTCCAGATTATAATGGAGAGAATTTAGCCTATATTCATTCACTCAGTCATTCACTAAATATTTATTGAGCACCTGCTATAGTCAAGATACTGAACAGTGTGGTCAGATTGCATAGAGTTGATGGTATGTAGTATGTATATTACTACCTCATTATTATATAAAGCCCTATATATTTATGTCTTTAGATTTAACTTGTGTGCAAAAATCTTGGAAAATTAGAAAGCAAGATTAGGAACTTTTGCTTTCTCTGCATTCAGTGAATAAGTTGTCATGGCCCTTCTGACCATAAAGTGAGAAAACTTTTTAATTTTATGCATCTTTTTGGTATCATGGGATGTCTTTAATAAAATCCAATACATAAAAATTAATATTGCTGTTAAATTAGAATTGGCTATTCCCATTATAAAAAGAGTTTTGAATTTATGAATAGCAAATATATTAAGTCTTTCCTGAAATTTAGGGTCATAGAAAAGTCTCTTCTCTGTTCTAGGCTTAGATCAATAACCAAAGCCCTTCCTATATAGAAATTCCAAAGTGACAAAAAATTCAGCAGCACAGGTCCAAAATAGCTTTCTAAATATTCCCTGAATTTGAATATTAAAAATTAAACTGTTCCATTTGTATGTCCACCCATCTATCTAAATCAGGAATAGGATATTAAAAAATGCAAATGCCAAATCAGGATGATAATAGTGGAATATTTGACATAACAGTAACAGCTTCTTGTTAAAATCCTCACATAGACTATTATGTTTATCACTGTGTTACTAGGTATATAATAATGTCTGAATATTACCTTAAAGAAAGGTTATTGAATTTTTAGAATTTAAATATGATATGTGAAGGAAATATATACTATATGGAAACATTTTATTTATATTTTGGAAATCGTTTCTCTGTTCTAGATAAAATAGCACATTTGAGGAAAAATGGAAATTTGAAAATATTAAGCTCTACTTCTTTTTAGTTTGATATATACCCTATACCTAAAACTTTTTTGTTGGTCTTGATTTTGAGTTGTATATTCCTTTTATGAATATTAGGACATGGCATATGCTTTTCTGTCTTTTCATTTAGTGTTCCTCAGCGGTCTGTTTTGGAACAAGCTCAGAAGCCCATTGACATCAGACAAAGGAGTTCGCAAAATCCTCAAAATTGCCCAGCAGCATCAGGTGATTCAAAGCGCAGAGTTTAAACAGTCAAAACACAGAGCTAATGTTTAACAGTTTATATTGCAGAAGTGAAAAAAGAACTTAAAGAAGTAATGAATCAAAAGTGTTAGTGAAGCCACATGGAATTAAGACCAAGAGGCCATTGAATTTGGCAATTGGGTGGTCAGTGGTGACCTTTGAGAAATGGAAATTAATTTTTCTAAAGTTATTTTCTTTAAGTTGTGTAGTAGTTAGAAATGTGTCTGGGGAGGTGGGGATGTCAACTTTGGTTTCTGTACCATGAAAAATATGAGAAAGGAACTTGGAAGAGGCCTTTCTAACAGGCTAAAATTTATAGACAATCCTTAAAATATTGAAATATTAGATGGAGTAGTTGTGGGCATGTGTTTTATTTATCCATTTATTTCACCACCCCAAAGTAAAATATATACAGTATTTCATAAACTTCCCTAGATGTTACAAATTGATGTTTTTACTCAAATACATGAAAAAGTAATAAAATCATAGAAAATAACTTCATAATTTATGATATGAATTTCAAAACAAGTGTTTTATCTTATGATATGCTTTTGAGAGTTTAAATGAATTATAGATTTTTGAAATATTGAAATAAAGCCAAAATTTAGGCCTTAGATTGTAAAATCTGGCATTGTGTACTTTTAAGCAATCCAAGTAAATTCTGCAAGGGCAAAACGCCTGAATGAGTTCTCAAGTCATCTATAAAAATGTAGAACATAGGTTTTATTAAAATGTTAATAATAAAGAGGGCACATACTGCATGGAGCACTGGGTGTTATTCACAAACAATTGTGGAACACTACATCAAAAACTAATGATGTAATGTATGGTGATTAACGTAACATAATAAAAAAAGATATATAGGTATGCTCTATCAAAATCAAATATTTCAAAGACCTGAACTTAAAAACCCTGTTCTTCTTAGGAGACTCAGATAATGGTAGAATTCTTTTAGTAGTGTCCTCTCATGCAGAAATACTATCTTGTGAGAAATAAAATAAACCTGAATCAAAAGTAACTTTAAGAATATTTTCCCCAGAACCTTTCTGGTTTGGCTAGGGCTAATTTTACTAATAGTGGGCAAACACCTAAAAATTTAAGGTTTATTCGTACTGCCTTTTCTGAAATAAGGAAATTCTAGATTAGGTCCCAAAGCAGTCATGAACATTGGTTAGGAGCGGGGTGAGAAGGGGATAGCTTCTGTGTAGATAATAGCTGAAGTTCTTTTCAGCTCTAAAATTCTATTATTTTTTTGTGTGTACCACCTAGACTATTTGAAGTTCCCATGAAATTACATGCTTTATTATGCAGGAAATCAGAGCACCTTACTACAGATTTGCCTCAAAATCCCAAACACTCACCCAAACTTCTTATTTAGCCTAACAACACACAAAGGGACTTGAGAAAAAAATGGTTTTCTGAAGAAAGATAATAAACTGCAAAAGTAAAATGCCAGAAGATGCAGACACAAATTGTAGAATGTGTTCCAGATAATATACTCAAAAGATAGTAGTGTTTGTAAATACATGATTTTTGGAGTTGCAGGGTCTACACCTTGGCTATATATGGCAAAGTTGCAAATAAAAAGGGGATAGGATTATTTATCTTTAAAGTCCAAGCACATAAAAAAAAAAATAAGCAGGGATGAAAGTGCCCCTTGGTAAAGCCTTTTCTAAGTATACTCAGCCAGATCTACTGATTTTTGAGCCTAAATATTATCACTGAATTTTAACCACAGGTGTTACTTACTGTACCATAAATCTTAATATAAAAAGTCCACACTTTAAGTCCAGATATATTTGCATTTTTTAAAGATTTTTTTTTAATTTTTAAGTAATCTCTACATCCAATGTGGGGCTTGAACTCACAACCCCAAGATCAAGAGTTGAATGTTCTACAAACTGAGCCAGCCAGGGGGCCCTAAATTTGCATTTTAAATGGAAATATTTACACTATGGAATTAAGCTGCTCATTGTGATAGCAACTAGCCAAATTAAAACTAAACTGTTGGTGGGAATGCAAGCTGATACAGCCACTCTGGAAAACAGTATGGAGGTTCCTCAAAAAGTTGAAAATAGAGCTACCATATAACCCAGCAATTGCACTACTGGGTATTTACCCCAAAGATACAAATGCAGGGATCTGAAGGGGTACGTGCACCCTGATGTTTATAACAGCAATGTCCACAATAGTCAAACTATGGAAAGAGCCAAGATATCCATCAACAGATGAATGGATAAAGAAGATGTGTATATATATACAATGGGATATTATGCAGCCATCAAAAGGAATGAAATCTTGCCATTTGCAATGACGTGAATGGAACTGGAGGGTATTATGCTGAGCGAAATAAAGTCAATCGGAGAAAGACATGTATCATATGACCTCACTGGTAATGAGGAATTCTTAATCTCAGGAAACAAACTGAGGGTTGCTGGAGTGGTGGGGAGTGGGAGGGATGGGTGGCTGGGTGATAGACATTGGGGAGGGTATGTGCTATGGTGAGCGCTGTAAATTGTGTAAGACTGTTGAATCACAGACCTGTACCTCTGAAACAAATAGTATGTTATATGTTAAAAAAAAAAAAAAGAAAGAAGATAGCAGGAAGGGAAAAATGAAGTGGGGGGAAATTGGAGGGGGAGATGAACCATGAGAGACTATGGACTCTGAGAAACAAACTGAGGGTTCTAGAGAGGAGGGGGGTAGGGGGATGGGTTAGCCTGGTGATGGGTATTAAAGAGGGCACATACTGAATGGAGCACTGGGTGTTATACGCAAACAATGAATCATGGAACACTACATAAAAAACTAATGATGTAATGTATGGTGATTAACATAACATAATAAAAAAAACTAAAAATGTCAACCCCTCAGGCATACTGGCAATATTACAAAATGCTCATTAGCCATGTGCGACTACTGGCTGGCTACTGTATTAGACATCAGATACAGAACACTTCTGTTACTGCAAAAAGTTCTAGTGCACAACATCACTATAGAAAGATTCCCAGCTTTATAAAAAGGGTTAAGTTTTGTCTCTTTTCAGTTGTTTGCTTTTCAACTGTATTGAAATACTTCAGGATATATCATTGAGTGGAAATTGGGGGATTAAGATTGCAGGATCAACTTTCCTCTTGAGAATTTTGTCTATATGTTCGTCTAATACACTGTTGGGCTCTTTCTCTACTGGTTAATATTGGAGGCCAATGATACCACCCAGCTCTTCCCATTCTTGATATGTATTTTTTTAAATAAAACTGTCTACCAGTCTTACTGGGGATCTTTTCACACAGATAGAGAGAAATATTTAGCAAGTGTACACTTAATATTGAAAACAGAAAAGCCATGTAGATCTACAGACAACAAACCTTGAGCCTGTCACTACCCCAGCAAACAGAATCTATGATCCTGGCCCCATGAGAATTTATTAGGTGATATTTCCTGAATGGAAAAAGGCTACAAGAAAAATACCAAGGTATTGAACTGGTACACTATAAAAGTGAAGGCAATGGCTGCAATCATCATTGTAACTAACGTCTTTTTTGTCATTCCACAGAATCTTCTTCTGAGGAACAGAGTCCTGTGACCTGGAGGAGGTCCCAGTCATCACCGCCTTATTCCACTATTGATCAGAAATTGCTGGTTGATGTCCACGTAGGTTTCCATCTTAACTTTTAACACATTTATCTGTTTTTTAAAAATGTCTTTCTTTAGACTTAAATATTTTCATCTTCACTTAAGGGAAAGGTCAAAGTGTTTGGTTTTTTAATTAATCTTTCAAAGATATATTTTCATTGCTATGTGAGTATGCAGAATATGAAATCTAGAAATTAAGTTTGAAATGGAGAAACATTGAATTGATCAGAAAATATTTTATATGCACATTCTTTTATCAGAATATATTATTGGTGACTAACATAACATAATAAAATTAAATAAATTTAAAAAATAATATATTCAGAGAGGAGTGATAAAAAGGTCTTTGTAGAAGCTAATCTCAAATCAAGGAGTAGAAGCTAGATGTTCACTTTTTGTCTAATATAATTTCTTGGATGATAATGCAATGCATAAAAATAAAACATTCGGGGAGAAATAAAATGTCCTCTAATAGCATAAACATTTTTCCAATTGTTTTTTTTTCATAGTACAATGGAGATAATTATTTTTTATTATGTTAATCACCATACATTACATCATTAGTTTTTGATGCAGTGTTCCATGATTCATTATTTGCGTGTAACACCCAGTGCTCCATGCAGAACGTGCCCTCTTTAATACCCATCACCAGGCTAACCCATCCTCCCACCCCCCCTTTCCAATTGTTTTTGCAGTGTACTTTCAGGTCATTCCATTTTATTTCTGTAATTATTCCTACCCTACCACATACATATCTCTTTCAGATTGCCTAATTGTTGCTTATACGACGCTTAAAGATGGATTTATATTAATTTGTTTCTTAGAAGTGTTTGATCTGGGCGCCTGGGTGGCTCAGTTGGTTAAGCGACTGCCTTCGGCTCAGGTCATGATCCTGGAGTCCCGGGATCGAGTCCTACATCGGGCTCCCTGCTCAGCAGGAAGTCTGCTTCTCCCTCTGACCCTTTCCCCTCTCATGCTCTCTCTCTATCTCATTCTCTCTCTCAGATAAATAAATAAAATCTTAAAAAAAAAGAAGTGTTTGATCTACTTTGAAACAACCTATGTACAAAACTGAGTTGGGAAATTAATATATCAATTTTAAGAGCTATGTGGTAATCCTAATATCAGAGAATAAAATGAAAGGAAAAAATAACTATATCTTCTATAGAACATCAAATAATCTCTTCTACTCTCTATCACCAAAACTAAAGGTCCATTCCTCAGCAGAAAAGTAGGGGTAATAAAAAAGAGTACATTTTGCCCTGTGTGAGCCAGAAAGGCCATTAATTATCATAGCCTGAAGTTTGGGTTTTGTCATCTCATCCTCATAAAAATGTTGCTTTATCTAGTGAGTAAAAATCTTCATTTCAATCAAAAATATATTTTAAAATACTGTCAGCTTGGAAACTTTCCAATCTAGAAGAAAATGAAAGGCTACTGGAGACTACATTAACCTTTCTTGTGCACACAGGTTCCAGATGGATTTAAAGTAGGAAAGATATCACCCCCTGTTTACTTGACAAATGAATGGGTAGGCTATAATGCACTCTCTGAAATCTTCCGGAATGATTGGTTAACTCCTGCACCTGTCATTCAGCCACCTGAAGAGGATGGTGATTATGTTGAACTCTATGATACTGGTGCTGATACTGATGGTGATGATGATGATTCTAATGATGCTTATGAGGATACCTATGACCATGACAATGGCAATGATGACTTGGATAACAAGGTTGATCAGGCTAATAATGTTGGTGAAGACCATGATGATAATGACAATGATGAAGCTATTGATGACAAAGACAATAATCATGATGATGCACCTTGTTGGCCAAGGTTGGTTTTTCTATATTATTTGCACTACCAAAGTTTTAGAATTTCAGAACTATTTGCATTTTAGTTTTACTTTCAAATTTTATTACCGAGGGTGAATGCATTGCACTTGCATATTAGTAAATGGTTGATTTTCAATAATAGATTTTAAATTATTTTAATGTAAAACACCTAATTTTGCATTTTTGTATACTATATTTTATTAGTATTCAAGTATTAAGTTCTTTATAACTACAATTGTTGATGTTTCTGTTACAATTAATGCTACTGAATCATTTTACCCTCTAAAACCACAGTGAGTATATGAAATGAGGTGACAAATAGTGTGCTACTTAATAACTGTAAGAGGAAGTCCTGATATTTGCAAACAAATCTCCAAATTCGCTGAGAAAAATGAATTGCAACCTTGATTTTCACTTGATAATTTTAGGCTAAAATGTACTAACAGCATTATTTTTGGAATTCTGCAAACTGCTGTAACTAAACTCAGTACTCATTCTATTTTATCTTCTTACATAGCAGCTGCCAAAAGTGGTAATATTTAGTGAAGTGATATTTTCGGCATGCCACCAGTTGTTTTCTATATATATAGTTCCTTTCTCCTGCTTTAAACAAGCCAGTGTGTTCTTATTTACATATGTTCATGATTTGTATTCAAACTGTTCTCAAAGGAGATTAGTTAATATAGTAAATGTTTACATTAGTAGAAAAATGATTAACAGAGGGAGAATTGTTTGCTTTATAATATTGAAATCCATATTTTTTTGTTAATTTTCAAATGTTATTGGGTGGATATACATGGCAGAACCGACTACAAATTATTCAAAATTTTTTCTTTTTTGCCAACTAAAAAAATCTACTAAAAGTTCCATTGTCAAATAAATTTGCTTTTAGGATTATCATAGGTACCTGGATATGTTGTCTCTTATGCTAAATACCATTGTGGCATTTGGTAAGGTTGGTGTTCTCAGCAACTACATAAATGACTATCTTAGCCTAATGAGATCTATATTGCTGAATTTCCTGGTGGTAGTAATAGAAAAATCAATAGAATTCTTTAGCAAAGTAGTCAAAACACGTGTGAGAAAATCAAAGCATGTGTTAAAATTAACAGAAATTAAATATATTGCAAAACAATTATTCAATTATGTTGTGGCTGTGCCAAAAATATGGATTTAATCATTTATGTGGCTGTGAAGTTGCTAATACATGTAGTCTATTATTTAAGCAACCCCCCCCAAAACAGAACATATTTTTGCTGCTAACCTAACACATGTTCCTAATAAAGGATGCAAGTTCTCTTCCATCTGCCATCCATGTGCAGTCAGGGAATTGATGGTGGCTGTGGTGTTGATTCAGTATTTAAGATTCACAAGATATAGGGTATTTTTCTTGTCCATATCATACCAGTATTGTTCACATAGAGCAAAAACATTCCTAGAGATAGTATATATGTATCAGATACATCCTAATTCTGTTTTATTTGCTGACTTTCAAATGTGTTTTTGTTCAGTGGCTCTCTGTCATTAATTGGATCTTGTTATCAGACCAAGCTATGGCAGAGACGGAAGCTGCAAGCAAGATAGTAGAGATGGAAGTGATGGTGGAGAAGAGACCTGCAGCAGCTATGGAAGTCAGAGAGTCAGTAGAGGCCATGGAGAAAGTGTAGCCAGTGGGGGCAGTGCAACCAGTGGAGACCATGAAGAACTTGGAGCCAGTATAGGCAATGGAAGAAGAGTTAAGGAAGTAAATGGAGGTAAGGGAATCAGTGGAACCAATGAAGAAAGTGGAGCCCTTCAAATCAGTGGAGGAGAAAATTGCTCAGAGACTGATGGTCAAAGATTGGAGAGACCGACATCCCAGGACTTTGAACATCAACAGGAGGTAATGCACCATTTGAAAAGGAGAATGAATTCCTCTCCTTGTAAATTTGTTTTTTCATGTGATATGTCACATTTCCAGTCATTCCAAATATAATTTTAACTTCTAACCCAAAGCCTTAAACATTTTAATTTATAGTTGTAGATCTTTACTTCTCATTTGGATGGTTCCTATTTACTTCTAGGGACAAAAATACATTTTTTTTGTTCACCTTTATTACTCAGATCACAAATTTGGGATGGTGTCTCTTAACATATACAATTTATTTTTCTGGGAAGTTATCATTGTGGTAAAATTTACTAACAGAATTTTCCATCTTAACTATTTTAAGTGTATAATTCAGTAGCATTAAGTACATTCACAATGTTGTACAACCATTATTACTGTTCATTTCTAGAACTTTTTCATCATCCTAAACAATTAAATAATTAACTCCCTATTATCCCTTCTACCAGGCCCAAGTAACCTCTAGTCTACTTTCTAAGTACTTTATATAAGACAATCATACAATATTTGTCCTTTTGTGTCTGGTTTATTTCACTTAGCATAATATTTTCAAGGTTCATCCATGTTGTAGCATGTATCAGAATTTTCTTCCTTTTTAATGCTGAATAATATTCTATTGTATGAATATATCATATTTTGTTTATCCATCTATCTGTTGATGGACAGTGGGGTGGTTTTCACCTTTTGTTTATCATGATAATGCTGCTGTAAACATTGGTATAAAACTATCTGTTGTTGGAGTGCCTGTTTTCAATTATTTGGGCTGTCTACCCAGGAGTAGAATTCTTAGATGTAGAATTGCTAGAATGGAATTGTTAGATTCTGTTTTAACTTTTTGAAGAACTCTTAACACATAGAATTTAAATGTAAGTAATGTATTGTGTTAAGCAATGATTTTATCATTCACAAAACATCACTGACTTTATAAATACATTTAAAAATACTCAAATAGTATCCAGTTTAGACTGCATCTCATTCATAACATTTTTAAGTTCGGCCTGATTAGATCTCATTTCTGCCCTTAGAGATTCGATACTGTCATTAATGCTTATTTCAAGCCTAGCTATTGACTTCCTGATTGCTACTCTGAAGTCTATCTCTGACATCTTGCTTTTATTCAAACTGTAGAAGGAGCTGAGATGCCCTTCAACAGATGAATGGATAAAGAAGATGTGGTTCATTAATACAATGGAATATTACTCAGCCATCAGAAAGGATGAATACCCACCATTTGCATCAACATGGATGGAACTGGAGGGGATTATGTTAAGTGAAATGAGTCAAGCAGAGAAAGACAATTATCATATGGTTTCACTGATATGTGGAACATAAGGAATAGTGCGGAGGACCACAGGGGAAGGGAGGGAAAACTGAATGGGAAGAAATCAGAGAGGGAGACAAACCATGAAAGACTCTGGACTCTGGAAACCAAACTGAGGATTACAGAAGGGAAGGGTGTGGGGGTGGGTTAACCAGGTGATGGGCACTAGGGAGGGCACCTGTTGTGATGAGCCCTGGGTGTTATATGCAACTAATGAATCATTGAACACTACATCAAAAACTAATGATGTACTATATGTTGGCTAAATGAACATAATAAAAAATTTAAAAAATACTCAAATAGTTTCACAGATGCTAGATCAATAAGAATGATCACAGAGAAGATTTCCTGGAGCATCTGGCATTTGAACTAATTCTTGACAAATAGAGAGTATTTGGATATCTGAAAACACAGGTGAGATTCCGGACAGAGGAAAGATCATTCCAATTTACTTTCCCAGCCAGTTGTCCTATCACACAAACTGGCTTACAAGATGCCGTGCTCCTTCATGAATTAGTGCCCTTGTGCAAGCTGTTCCCTCTGTCTATAAGGCTGCCCCCTCACATCTTCTCTGCTTGGTTAATTAGTCATTCTCATGATCCAATTCATATATCATCTTTGACTTTTCAAGATGCAATTATATACCCCTCCCTCTGTGTTTGCAAGCATTTTGCCTATAGTTTCATTTTAGTACTTGTGACATAGTATTTGGTTGTTGACTTGCTTTTCTGCCATACTAGATTGTGAACTCTTAAAAGGCTGGAACTCTGTTTAATCCATTCTTGATTACTTTTCTCTACCCACTCACCCAATCCCAGGACCCAACCTAGGACTTGGTTTATGATAGACACAATAATTATGGAAGAAATCAATGAAGGAAGAAAAATTCCTAGATAGTTTCCAATGGGAAAGTAGTATGAGTGGGAAAGTCTCTCTCTCTCTCTCTCTCTCTCTCTCTCTTTCACTTTCTCTCTTTCTCTCTCCCTCCCTCCCTACTTACCTATCTTAATTAAAGACATTAAAACAGGATGTCCCATCATAGTTTTCATAGCTCCCCCGGGTATCTCCAATTATTGCAAGGAATGTTTTTGACATTTACAGAATGAGTAGACAGTCCTTTCATTTTAATTTGAAAGGACATGTTGCCATACAACACTTTTGTGGTTGGAAAGGTCATAAAAACAAGTCTTTGACAGGGCAGCACAGCTCTCTCAATGCCAAGAATCACTGGATGCAAAAAAATGCTTATCAACCGACAAGCTTACCCAAAACAGTTGGCATGTTTTTCCACAGGATATGGCATCCCATGTAAATTCTGTCACATTTTGTGGCTTTTATCCTTGAGTTTCTTCTATGTAAGTTAATGGAAGCCAACTAGATTTTCAGTGAGGTATGGTCACACCCTTGAATTGGTGTTGGTTGATTTTCCATCACTAGCTTTGTCATTTGACAAAGTAAAATTGATACCCCCAACTCTGGTGCTTTTTTAATTTTTTTCAAGTGACTCTTTAGCATAGCATAGCTCAACATAAGCTTTGGAATCAGACTTTGGCTTCAAACTCTGGTTCCCCTACTTTATCTCTATGATTTGAATAAATTATTTAACTTTGCTAAGCTTTCATTTCCTCATAAGTAAAATGGAGATAATTATACTTACTTTTTGGGTTGTTGTTAAGGATTTGCAGTAATATATAAATAAAATAACTAGCAGTATACCTAGTATATAATAAAAATTCCACTAATATTGGGCCCCAAATCACACAGCTAGGGATTTTAAGCTCCTTAAATTTTTCCTCTGACATCAGTTGTCTCAATTTAAGTTAGTTCTCTCTCTTCTGATAACATTGTTGAATTCTTCTGATAAATGTGGATTTTAAAAGGATGAAGAATTATAGATGCTACAAATTTTGCATTCTCTTTTTCAAATGACTTCTAGGCATATTATATTTATTTCACAGTTAATCTCCAAATAAAGTCAAAATTGATTTTCAATCTTCTATTAGGAGCCCAGTGGTAGAAGCGAGGCCTCAAATGCCATTGCCTTAGGCCCTGCACCAGCAGCACCTGATGACGAGAATGACAGCATGGACATATCAGAAGCATCAACACAATCAGGTTTTTCTGCCAGCCACTCATCTCCCTCCAATGGTTCTGGGAGGGCTGCAAATGCTGACTTTGGCAGTGCCATCTGTAAGTGTGTTTAATATAATCTCCAAATGCTGCAGTCTATTCACACATTACAGCATTTGACCACTGGTTCATGGTCTGAAAAGAATGAAATCATTCTGATATTCAGTTAACATAAATTCAGATGGATACATGCTTTAAAAAATATACTCCTCACTGAGTCTTTATGGCACCTAAATTTAAAATACAATTGAGTAACTGAGTCCCTCATCTGGATTTTCTTTTGCAATCTAATCATGGTAACCTGAAATACATTCATATTCAGAAATGTATTTTAACCATCATGATTTGTGTTATCTGATGGTTTAGGAGATAGAGAAATGATACCTCCAGGAAAAAGAAAATTCAATAAAGGAAAGAAACTTTTCTAGGCTGTGTCTTATTTGTGGAAACATTCAATCACATATGGTATATACACTAGTAATTTCTCTGAATATCTTCCCCTTACTTCTTCACAGTGTATGCTGGATTAGTGGAAGCACCTGAAAAATCACCTAAGCGACCCTCTGAAGTCAATGTTAACCCACTATATGTGTCTCCTGCATGTAAAAAACCACTAATCCACATGTATGAAAAGGAATTCACTTCTGAAATCTGCTGTGGGTCTTTGTGGGGTAAGTTTGGTTTCTTAAAACTGAGTTGTTTTTTCAAAGAATACTTTTTTTTTTATCAATGCAGCAAACTTGTGAAAAATCATAGATGTAAAACACTTGTTATTACCAAACCATTTTCAAGCAAATAAAAATATATATATTTGTACTAGCTAATTTGTTCTTTTTTTACTGATTTATTTTCACTCAGTGCAGTTTGATGTTTGAATTGGCACTCCTTCCCCTTTTTATTGTTTCTCTTTTTAACTTGAATTGACTTGACTAAAACATAAAATTGGACTAGGTTATGATTATTTAAAAATTTGAGCTTAGTATTTTTACTTTAAGATAGTGTGTAGCATTTAATACCTAATGAGATAGTTAAGACATATTTCTGTAAGTTCTTGTTTTTAAATAATCTTGTGGATTTGTAGAGAAAGTTCTTTCAATCATGTCTCTTTTTAAATGTTTCAAGTTTTTATCTAAATTTTTATTAAGAATTTATTGTTAACATATAGTGTAATATTAGTTTCAGGAAGAGAATTTAGTGATTCATCACTTATATATAACACCCAGTGCTCATCACAAGTGCCCTCCTTAATGCCCATCACCCATTTAACCCAGCCCACTCCCACCTCCCCTCAAGTAACCCTCAGTTTGTTCTGTCTCTTTTATGGTTTGCCTCCCTCTCTTTCTTTTTCTTCCCCTTACGTTCATCTGTTTTGTTTCCTAAATTTCACAAATGAGTGAAATCATATGGTATTTGTCTTCCTCTGACTGAATTATTTCACTTAGCATAATACTCTCTAGCTCCAACCACATCATTGCAAATGGCAAGATTTCATTATTTTTGATGGCTGAGTCTCTCATGGTTTGTCTCACTCTCTGCTTTCCCCCTCTTCAGATTTCCCTCCCTTCCCCTATGGTCCACTGTACTATTGCTTATGTTCCACATATGAGTGAAACCATATGATAATTGACTTTCTCTGCTTGACTTACTTCACTTAGCATAATCCCCTCCAGTTCCATCCATGTTGATGCAAATGGTGGGTATTCATCCTTTCTGATGGCTGAGTAATATTCCATTATATATATGAACCACATCTTCTTTATCCATTTATCTATTGTATATATATACAATGGGATATATATGTACACACACACACACACACACACACACACACACACACACATATATACCACCTCTTCTTTATCCATTCATCAGTCAGTGGACACTTGGGCTGTATCCATAATTTGGCTGTTGTTGATAATGCTGCTGTAAACTTTGGGGTGCATTTATCCCTTTGAAATAGTGTTTTTTATATTCTTTGGGTAAATACCTAGTAGTTCCATCGCTGGATCATAGGGTAGTTCTGTTTTTAACTTTTTAAGGAACCTCCATACTGTTTTCCAGAGTGCCTGCACCAGCTTGCATTCCCACCAACAGGGTAAGAGGGTTCCCCTTTCTCCACATCCTCACCAACATCTGTTGTTTCCTGTGTTGTTAATTTTAACCATTCTGACAGGTGTGAGGTGGTATCTCACTGTAGTTTTTATTTGTATTTCCCTGATGATGAGTGATGTTGAGTATATTTTCATGTGTCTATTAGCCATCTGTATGACCTTTGATAATGTCTTAACTTCGATAGACTTTTTCAGTCCTTTGCTCTAGAAGAATTATAACCACATTAGTAGGGCTCAGACAATATTTTACCTCAAACCAGTATGAATCATAAATGAAACAGAATAAATAAATGGAAGGAGGGAAGAAATTCAAAGTAAATGCCAACCTCTGACTTGCAATTTCATAGATTTTGCTTAATGTATGTTTGAACAGGGGACAGAATTTTAAATTAAAAATAAAGCAGCATAGCAAACATTATAGCTATATGGATTGAATAACTTAGAAAAAACATGTTACCCTCAAAGCTAATATATTGTGTCAGATAACAAGAAAGCAGAGTTTATGTCTTTATCATTTCAGTCAGGCAACTACCCAGAGATCTAATTAATGTCTAATAATTCATTTTTATAACTTCTAGTTTTATATTTTGAAAAATAAAAGATTACAGTCAAAATTGAATATACTTTACCCTCCCTTTCTGATTCCACTTTGGGAGGAAACGCAATTCCTAAATCTGCCACAGGCCATTACTTAGAGAACTGGTAAAGGACAGAATAGAAAAATGAAAGCAGAGACACTTGTCTTTTCTCCTTATATCCTTGAAACACAAATAGTCTCTAAGTAGAAGGAAAACACTAAAGTCCTCTCCATTATATTACTTGACTGAGTTTTTCCTAGGTCTCAGGTTATGGGGTAAAACTCCCACAGTGGTTTGAAGTGTATTCTAATTTAGCTTAATCTTCTATTTTAGCCCTCTCATTCAGTCTTTTAACAGTTTTTATATTTGAATAAATAGAGCCAGCAGACAAATAATAGAGTGTAGGAATTTAGATACATAAAAGTAGGAACTACTTTCACAGGTATTCTGCAATGTAAGTTTTATAATATATGCATGAATACAGACTCAATTTAAAAATAATTTACATATAATTATTGTAAAAGCATTAAACTCTTACTTATAATTAGGAAAGACGAATCAACTGAATTGAATTCTTCATATACACTAGACATCCTTAATGTTTAATGGTAATTTTCAAAAGGGTTGATTGATTTTTATAAAGTTTGGGACACTGCTAAAGGATGGTGAGATATTTATAAAATTCTCCTTTTGAGATGCCACACCAGACACCAGCCAGTAGAAATATTGCCAGAAGGTATTATCTTCTAGATTTTAATATATTTCAGAGAAATTTGTTTTGTTGGTGAGTTCATTGTTACACAGTATGAGGTTAACATTAGCCTAAAGTGATATGTCATCTTCACACAGATCAGCCCACTGGAATTGCAAAAGTACTAATATAAATTCAATTATAAAAATGTAATCTGAGCTAATATAACACCTTTCTTTTTATATGCAAACAGGAGTGAATTTGCTGTTGGGAACCCGATCTAATCTGTATCTGATGGACAGAAGTGGAAAGGCAGACATCACTAAACTGATAAAGCGAAGACCATTCCGTCAGATTCAAGTTGTAGAGCCACTCAATTTGCTGATTACCATCTCCGGTTTGTTTAAGAACTAAAATTAGCTAAGTAATTATGTAGATTAATTAGGTTCCAAACTAGGCTAAAGACTTCCACAGGTAAAAGTTTCATAGGAAAGCACTTTAAATATAACCTTAAATTAGGACACCAAACTTTCCTATTTGTGTTTTCTTATCTATTCGCAGTTTATTTTTTTATTTTTTTATTTTTTATTTATTTTTATTATGTTCAGTTAGCCACTATATAGTACATCATTAGTTTTTGAGGCAGTGTTCAACGATTCATCAGTTACCCATAACACCCAGTGCTCATCACAACATGTGCCCTCCTAAACACCCATCACCCTGCTACCCCATCCCCCCACCCACTCCCTTCTGTAGCCCTCAGTTTGGTTCCCAGAGTCCTGAGTTTCTCACGGTTTGTCTCCCTCTCTGCTTTCTCCACCTTCAGATTTCCCTCCCTTCCTCCATGGTCCTCTGTACTATTGCTTATGTTCCACATATGAGTGAAACCATATGATAATTGACTTTCTCTGCTTGACTTACTTCACTTAGCATAATACCCTCCAGTTCCATCCATGTCGATGCAAATGGTGGGTATTTATCCTTTCTGATCCATTGTATGTATGAACCACATCTTCTTTATGCACTCATCTGTTGAAGGCCATCTTGGCTCCTTCCACAGTTTGGTTATTGTGGACATTGCTGCTATGAATATTGGGGTGCATGTGCCCCTTCTTTTCACTACATCTGTATCTTTGGGGTAAATACCTAGTAGTGCAATTGTTGGGTCATTCTATTTACAGTTTAAACTAACTTCTCACTCTCCTTTGCTGTCTGGATATTTGATTGCAATGCACCTCACCTAGGTCATTTGATAAGGAAAAAACATGCCATTTACGTCTTTCAGGTCTTTCCTGAGTAGCCACCTGCAATTTTACAACTCACAATTTCACCCACCCATATGCAGATGACCACATCCATCATATACTTTCTTGTGGTGTGCTAGAAGCAACAAAGAACAAAGTGGACAATAATTGGATAAAAATAAAACTCTGTTGTCCCTGGCACAGCCTTATCATGAGAGCCTACAGATAGGATTAGGAACAAGAATGGATACCCTAAGACCTCTGACTTCTTCCCACATAGTAATTGAACTTCTTAGTTTTGGTCAGTCAGAACCTGAATCTCTGAATAAGAGAGAGCAAGTAAACAGATGTTAATAATAATTGTCATTACAAACATTACTTGGTATTAGAAAACACTAGTACTAAAGTCAACTAAAGGCAAAAGACAACTGACAAAAGGATACAAAAAGTTAAAAAAATGGTTTAACTGTAGAATAAAATGATGCGAATTACAGTTATTTATATGTGTTTGCATGCTTCCTGTCTATACCTAATAGCTATATGGCACATTAATTAATGATTATGTATATTCCTAAAAATTATTAACTTTGCTTTAAGTTTTGGTTAGGGGAGAAAATCCTCGATAGGTATGCTAAAGCTTCATCATTTTTTGGTCATGTTTCATTTTCATTGATTTTTAATTGCTTGAGGTACACAGATTTTGAGGTAACATTTAGATTTTGAAAACATCTGCGTGGCTTAGAGATTGCACATCTGGAAAACAGATTACTTTTTATCCAGCTTTTTCTAACCCAAATGTGTCCTTTTTAATGCTTAAGTTTTTCTCAAAGTGGATTATTTTTGCATCAGATGACACTGAGAACATCAGTGTAGAAAGATACCTAATAATTTAGAGCACAAATTTATTCTACCACTTAAGAGTAGAATGGAAATAGACATAGATGTCTGAATTCTAATGCTGCTTCAAAAAATGTCATGTAAAAGCATATGTAAGATTAATCACATAAGTAAGAATCTTATTGTTGAGCCTAGAAATCTTATTAACAATAAACTGTAAAAAATGAATACAAAGTCACTACATATGAAAACAAATGTGTAATTCAATGGCCTGTTTTTCCTTAAGGGATTGTAAGGATTTGCTGGGGTTTACAATTAGAAAATTAGCAGTGAAGATATGAGGAATTCTTAATCTCAGGAAACAAACTGAGGGTTGCTGAAGAGGTAGGGGATGGGAGGAATGGGGTGGTTGGGTGACAGACATTGGGGAGGGTATGTGCTATGGTGAGCGCTGTGAATTGTGTAAGACTGTTGAATCACAGACCGGTACCTCTGAAACAAATAATGCATTATATGTTAAAAAAAAGATAGTAGGAAGGGGAAAATGAAGGAGGGAAATTGGAGGGGGAGACGAACCATGAGAGACTATGGACTGAGAAACAAACTGAGGGTTCTAGAGGGGAGGTGGGTGGGGAGATGAGTTAGCCTGTTGATGGGTATTAAAGAGGACATGTATTGAATGGAGCACTGGGTATTACACGCAAACAATGAATCATGGAACACTACATCAAAAATTAATGATGTAATGTATGGTAATTAATATAACATAAAGAAATAATTCAATTGGCAAAAAAATTAGCAGTGAAGATAAATTTGACTGAGAAAAAAACAATAAAACTTTAATTATTTTGTAAGTATGCTGGAATGAAAGAGCACAAAGAGACCCTTCCCACTAATCCTGAATTCCTAACAGTCAATACATCAGATGTCCCTCTCATACATACATACCTACCAAGGACAGCTTCTAGGTCTCCAAGTCCCAGAAGGATAAAAGCCAAAGTATAAGTGAATGGATGGTAATTCTGTTGCTATGCCATGGCAGTCTTAACCTGTCCCAAAGAAGTATTGTACTTCTCTTCAGACAGGCACATAGGTAGCTGGTAGACATTTTGACTATCTCTTGGAAGTGAGAGACTAAGAAAGACTTTGCTATCATATTTACAAAATCTGAAGGGAAGAATCTAGTAGTATAGTTTTTTCTAAAAGTGCTTTTTACTTTAATGAGAAGATTTGGTTAAAAGGGCAAAGTACTTTTATTGTTTTGTTTTTCTAATATATGAAAAAATAGACTGAATTAAAACACTCTATCTTATATATCAGGCCATAAGAACAGACTTAGGGTGTATCATTTGACCTGGCTGAGGAACAAGATTTTGAATGATGATCCAGAAAGTAAAAGAAGACAAGAGGAAATGCTAAAGACAGAGGAAGCCTGCAAAGCTATTGATAAGTTGACAGGCTGTGAACACTTCAGTGTCCGTAAGTCCCATTTTATGTTTACTATAGCTATATAAAGTTTGCTTTCCTTTGTTTAGTAAAGTACATTGTTGTGAGAGGCAAAGTAGATAAAGAAAAGAATTTGCAACTTCCTATACAAAAATGAGTGAATTTCACTGAGACAATTTCCGGGTCCTCTATGTCACAATCATGACTGTTGAGAAAATACTGATTGACTTAAATAGCAATTGAAGTTTACTTTCTCAACTTTCTTCCCTTTCCAGTCACTCTAATTAGTCCAGATGAACTGATACTTCTTTTCTTGCCTCTGTATAACTCCGACTATATAAATGTTCTTGATGTATCTTCAATCACCTGTGAGGAGATTCATATGATATTATCGTTCCTTGGAACAGCAGTAAAATAGAATCACATAACAATTCCACTTCTTTAATTGGAAAATTTATCTTAATACTGACCAGGAAACTTTGCAATGAGTCCAAAAGAAAATTCTTCTATGGTTTACTGGCTCTTGCTCCCACTGTCAATACTCATGAATATAATTGCTAAATATTTTCTGTCTGATTAGTGTTTTCATATGTCCTATCTCTTTACAACCATTCACTGCAAAATGAAGTAACAACTCCATGGTCTCAGAATCCTTCTCTCATCTGTCTACAACTAGAAAGTGATGTTATCCCATTCTCTTCTATTTCTGAAGCAAATCCCCTTTGTTTTCTTCTTTCCTTTTAATTAATTGCCCCTTCAGACAGAGATAGTGACATAGGTAAGTGATAGCTGGAATCACATAATATGAGTTTTAGCAGGATATTGCTATTCTGACTGACCATTTCTGTTCTGCATATAGGGGCTTTTCCAGAATAGGTTTCCATATGTGTGTATATAAGTACACATACACCATTAAAGGGAGAAATGAGTACCCAGACAAACCAGGAATTAAATAAATACACTATTTTCTTCTCGTTGTATGTATCACTACTCTCCTCCAAATCATATTATATGTATTTGGTAGCCAAAGGTGAAAGAGATCCCCAGATGTTAACCAAGGAGTTTATGTAGCAGAACTGCCTGCCTCCTAGTGGGACAGTCATGTACTCATACTTTCATGGTGTTTTCAATAGCCTCTCAAGATCCATAAAATAATTGACTGACACCAATTACTGCCATATATTAAAATTATAGGAAGTGTTTGCTTAACAGAGAATTTCTTTGCTTGTTGGGGGTTTATTAATCATGCTTCTTTGACCTACTTGAGAACAGTGTAAAAGAAAAAGATAAAATAACTAGAATCAGAGAGAGAGAATATGAATAAGAGAAGGGGGAGATAGAAAGAGAAGTCTTATATTTGGTGTCTGATGAAATCTGACTAGAAAGGATAGAAGCAATATTCCTGCCAAGGAGGAAGGGTTTTAGCACAAAATATAAATCTAGCAAGTAGACCAACATATATCATAAGAATCAGAAGGTCTTTATGAGAGAAAGCATATACTTTTTATTCATTTTTCTCTTTTTAAAAAAACAGCTGTGTTGGAATTAATTTATATATCATAAAATGTACCCATTTAGAAGTGTACAATCAATGGTTTTTAGTATGTTTATAAAGTTGTATAACCATTATCATAATCTCATTATCCCAAAAAGAACTCCCGTAGCCATTAGCAATCACTCCACATTCCATCCCTCTGACATTCACCTTATTCTCCTCAGTCCTAAATAACCACTGATCTACTTTCCTTTGCTCTATTTTTTTTCTTTTCTGGACAATTTATTTAAATGGACTCATATATGGTCTTTGTGACAGGTTTCTGTTATTTAGTATAATGTTTTCAAGGCTCATGCCTGCTGTAGCCTGTATAACATGTATCAGTACTTATTTTTTATTGCTGAATAGTATATTTCATTGTATAGGTATACATTTTGTTTATACAATTTTTATACATCCATTGTTTATACATTTGTACTCTTTCCACTTTTTGGCTGCTATTAACATTTCATACATGTGTCTGTACATGGGAATGCATGTTTTCTTTTCTCTTGGATAGTACCGCCACACTGTTTTTCAAAGTGGCTGCACCATTTTACATTGACATAAGTGTGTAAGATCCATTTTCTCTTCATCCTTGCCAACACTTGTAGATGTCTGTCTTTTGATTCTAGGTATCTAAGTGGGTGTGAAGTGGCATCTTATTGTAGTTTTGATTTGTATTTCCCTGATAGCTAATGTTGTCAAGCATGTATATGTGCATCTATCTATCTATCTATCTATCTATCTATCTATCTATCTATCATCTATCATCTATCTATCTATCTTTTTGTTGTTGAGTTGTAAGCATTCTATATATTCTAGGTCCTAGGACCTTATCAGATATATGATTTTCAAATATTTTTTCCCATTTCATAGGTTGTCTTTTCATTTTCTTGACAGTGTCTTTCCATACTCCAAAATTTTAATTTGGATGAAACCCAATTTATCTATTTTTTCTTTTGTTGCTTATGCTTTTGTTGTCAAATATAAAAATCCATTGCCACGAAGATTTATTCCTATATTTACTTCTCATAGTTTTATAGTTCTATCTCTTACATTTAGGTCTTTGACCCTTCTGAATTAGTTTTTGTATATGGTGTGAGGTAAGGGGTTCAACTTATTCTTTTGTATGTGGATATTCAGTTGTCCCAGTGCCATTTGTTGAAGAGAGTGTTCTTTCCCAATTGAATTGTCAGGATATTATTGACCATAAACGTATGGGCTTATTTGTAGACTCTAATTTTTTTCTGTTGATCTATTTGCCTATTCTTATCTCAGTGCTACAGTGTTTTGATTACTATAGCTTGTAGTAAGTTTTGAATTTGGGAAGTATGAGTCATTCAACTTTGTTTTTCTTTTTCAAGATTGTTTTAGCTATTTGGGGCCTCTTCCAATTCCATGTGAATTTTAGGATCAGCATTTCCATTTCTGCATAAGAGGCCATTGGGATTTTAATAGCAAATGCATTGAACCCATAGATCACTTTGGATAATACTGTCCTCTTTTTGAAATATTGACATTTTTATGGGGCACCTGGGTGGCTCAGTATTTAAGCATCTGCCTTCAGCTCAGGTCATGCTCCCAGGGTCTTGGGATCGAGCCCCGCATTGGGCTCCCTGCTCAGCGGGAAGCCTACTTCTCTCTCTCCCACTCCCCCTGTTTGTGTTCCCTCTCTCGCTGTGTCTCTCTCTGTCAAATAAATAAATAAGATCTTCAAAAAATAAAAATAAAATATTGACATTTTTATTATTTATTTATTTATCTAGTGACTTAAAACAACAGTGATTCATTATTTCCCATATGTCTTTGAGCTGACCAGGGCTCAGCTGGATTTTTTTAATATAGTTGACACATAATGTTATATTAGTTTCAGGTGTAGAACATAGTGCTTCAAATTCTCTGTATGTTATGCTGTGTTTACCACAAGTGTAATTAATATCTATCACCATACAACGTTATTATAATATTATTGACTGTATTCCCTATGTTGTACCTTTTATTTCCATGAGTTATTCATTCCCTAACTGGAGGCCTATATCTCCCACTCCCCTTCACCCATTTTGCCCATCCCTCTTGTGCCTTCCCTCTGGCAACTATCAATTTGATCTCTCTATTTATAGGTCTGATTCTTTTTGTTTATTCATTTGTTTTTAGATTCCACATGAGTGAAGTCATAAGTATTTGTCTTTCTCAGTGTGACTTATTTCACTTAGCAGAATACCCTCTAGGTCCATCCATGTATTGCCCTCTTAACAGTGTTAAGTCTACCCATCCATTAACAAAGGAAGTCTTTCCATTTATTTAGTTCTTCTTTAATTCCTTTCAACAATGTTCTGTAGTTTTCAGTGTACAGAGTGCTCCTGAAGGCTAACACATACACTTCATAAAACTATGTAGTTAGTTTTGTCACCTTTTGGGAGGCATCAAATTGTAACTAAACAACTTTTCTAAAAATATATGATCTGTTCTTTTATATTGTGGTTATAATATTTTTAATGACCAATACAAATAATTTGAGTGTTCTTGTTAACTCTGTGGCATTGTTACTTCTTTATATTTTATCATTGTAGTCCAACATGAAGAAACAACATATATTGCAATTGCTTTGAAATCATCAATTCACCTTTATGCCTGGGCACCAAAGTCCTTCGATGAAAGCACTGCTATTAAAGTAAGTGGTCTTCTTCTTTGGATCATATGGTTTTTCTTTTGAGAAATTGTAAACAGAGCAATATTTTGAAATATAGTAGCAAAATTATATACCATTCTTTTACAGTTAATGTAATTTGACTATACCATGTCAATAATTATCATTTAACCCTTTTTTAGATAATTCACAGACACCACAGCAAAGGAGAGTGTGAGGGAAATCCCTGACCCCTCCCCTTAGAGGACCTCCCTACCAGCTCCTCACTCCCAATTCCTGTAGTCAACATGAAGACCTTCTCTTCTAGAGCCCCAAACACAGGCTTTGGGTGCCACCCCAATGACTTGAAGCTAAGAAAGTCCCTGTTCTCACTTAGTGGGGGGTGGAGGCAGAGGGAAGGTAAGGAAAGGTGTGGCAATGGTAGAGGGGGGAGCCCCACTGGAAGAGGAATGAGGGAAGAGAAAGCCTTTGCTGTAATTACCAGGGCTACAATAGATGGGGTGGGGAGGAAAGGGCAGGGTGGGTCTATATTTCTTCCAAGCTGGAACTCTAAACACATTTCTCTCCAGAACTATTGCAAGGAATGGTGGTTAGGCTTATTTGGATTACCAGTAATATTTCCACCTTTATTATGGTTTAACTGAACTTCTATGGATCAGCCTCCTAAGGTAACCAGTTGGTGTCCCAAACAGTTAAGTTGCTAATGATTTTTTAATCTCATCTCATAAACTGGGGATTCTTTTTATCTTTATTATTTTTAATGATACTCCAGAATTCTATGTCAATAGGATTATTTTGTGTTTATTCCATAGCAGTGAGGACTGATTAATGAACTGGGAGCATTATATAGAGGCCAGTAACTCCTAATCTGGAGTGTACATCAGAATCATCTGGAGCATTTGTTAAAAGTTTAGATCTCAGACCCAACTTCAGGCTGAATTAGTAGGTCTGGAGTGGGGCCTGGGAATCTATATTTTTAGCAAATGTTCCAAGTGACTTTGAACTAGTTGGTCAATGGACAAGTTTTTACAAAGCACTGATTAAGGACACATCATGGTAGACTCCAGCAAGGTATTTATGAAATAATTTTGTATCTTAGGTCAAGTCTGCTTACAGGGTGAATTTTGCAGCCAGAACATCACATGTATGCAATAAAGATGGACTAATTTTTATGACTGCCTCCAGATATCTATTTGTACAATAAATATGTTCTTTTGTAAATAACACAGACTACTATATAGACAGTCTGTGTCTGCCCTGACACAAATTATATCTCTGATCTGATCTCCCTAAATTGGCCCTTGGGTCAGCTGTCCGTATTTGGATATGGGTTTGTTCTTGGCTGTCTGCTGATTGGTCAGAGCTGCCTGATATGGAGCTGGAAAACAAAGAAGATAAGTACAAACAGTCTGTCTAGCCGATATACAGTTCCTGATCTAAGTCCTCCCTCCAGTTCTTGAATCTCACCTCATGACTACAGTATGGTGAATCCTGTGTTGCCCAGTCCTCTACTGTGACCTGAACATGGCAATGAATCCTGTTTGGCTTTTTGTTTCCTTGGACTAGGAAACATAGGAGCCTAGAGTACATCCAGTCTATGGTAGGTTAACATGTCTGGCCTTTTTCATTCCCTACCAAGTATGCATTGATCAATCAGCAGACTCCGAAGGAGACTACATGTCCTATGAAGCCTATATACGAATACTGGCAAAAATACAGGCAGCTGATCCAGCGAACCGGTTTAAGAGACCAGATGAGCTCCTTCATTTGCTGAAGCTCAAGGCAAGGAATTTAAAGACAGCAAACAGAGTGCAGGGCCATACAAGTTTCTTATGATCTTTGGAGATTTGGCCTCTGAAGGGAAACTCAAAATTTAGAAACTGAATATAATTATGTTCTTGTGGTAGTAACAGACCTAAGAAAAAGTCATAATACATAGTCTAAATATATTATGTAATTTAAAGAATCAACGAGGGTTTTATAAACCTGTTAAACAAAAGGGCAGGGGGAATTTTTGCCTTAGAGTGTCATTTTTGGCCTTTTGGCCATATTTGGTTTTATATCTACAGGTGTTTCCAACAGTTGGTCATAAGCCAGTGACAGTTGACCTGGCTATTGGTTCTGAAAAAAGACTAAAGATTTTCTTCAGCTCAGCAGATGGATATCACATCATTGATGCAGAATCTGAGGTTATGTCTGATGTGACTCTGCCAAATAACGTAAGATCCCTAGAAATTATTGTACACCACAATTTGAGTTTTTCTGTCAAAACTCTTAAAGATTTAAAAATATGATTATCAATATCTGTACTGGAACTAAAACCTAAAAGGTAAGTATAGAGTGCCAGAAAGTAGTAAGAGATAAACAGAAATCACTGATGGTTTCTTAGTCCAGACAGCACAGTTTTTTTGTTTGTTTTTAAATGAATAGAGTTTACACTTAAAATCTGGACTTCTATCGATGAACCAAAAGATTTGATAACATCTGGCCCTTATTACTGTCTGGCCATTATCAACTGGAAATGATTCTTGCCTGCCCCCTTTTATTTTATTTTTTTAAATATTTTTATGCCTGCCCCCTTTTAGATGGACTATATACTACACATTTCCTATCCATCCGATACCTTTATAAATTTATAATAACCAGTCCTAATAAGATGAATGAGTTTGTAGCCTTTGCTTTTAGTCCTTCTGTACCCCGTAATACATAAACAGATTCTTTAAGAATACACCAGTATTGCAGCATTATTATCCCCCTTCTTTATCCAAATTGTAGTACTTTAACCATGATATATAGCAAATTATCATAAAGTGTCCTCTTATAGTATCAATTATAGACTTTCTGAATAAAGGATTCAGCATTTTAAAAGCTAATGCACTTCAACACTTAATTCTTAAATAATTATAAATAATGATTCTATGGCACAATATCTAAAATATGGATAATTATAAAAATACTATATACATCATTTATATAGGGTTCGAACATAATACCCCCATATACACATGCACCATACAAAATATAATTCTACTGTGTCTCAAATTTGATGGTAACAGTGATATTTGTTTTATGGAAAACTATATTTAAAAGAAAGGGCTGAACCAACAAATCTCTGCTTCACCCTTTTTTAATTCCCCAGTTTGTTGACAACTAAAATTTCAATAGTTTAGCATTATATAAAGTCCAGGAGAAAACTTTTAAGTACCTTAAATCACTGTACTAATGTGATATTTTGCATAGCTTTCAGAATTGTCTCATACATCTCTGACAAATTACATAGAGCGTTTGTCAAATTAATAGTGGAAACATTTAAAAAAAACGTGGTTCTTTTGGTCATATTAACAATCTAATTAGCTCATCATTCAGTTGTCACCTATGAGTATGTAGAAATTACCCTGTTTATAATGTAGAAAATATTGAACTGAGCCCAGCCAAAGCCACTTAGATATAAGTTCATATAAGTGTTATAGTACTTTTCAGTTGGAGTGTTCCATAGCTTCCTGCATCTTATTTTTTTATGTAATGGCAGATAGCCTTTATTTTGAAGCTAGTGCCATATTAAACATTGCAATATTGGTCCACGTTTATACTTATTTGAAACGTCATTCAAGAAGATTGCACTCTGTGTTCCACTTGATTACCAAGCAAGAATTATTTCCTTTTGAAGCAATCAGTTCAGTATCATAGAAGCAAGAATGAGAGATTGGTTTAAAAAACATATATTTTTTCTGACCTAATTAGGATACTTTAAGTATATTCAAAAATAGTATTTTTAGCTAAATGCCGTAGTGTCCTGACCCATTAAAAGAGAAAGGACTCTAATAAAAGGGAGGGGAGTGTCTTCTGAAACAGAACGTACTAAAAATGATATTTTTCCAAGAGTGCCAGATTACAAAACCTGTAATGCTACAAGGGAGCCATGTGTCCTAAAGAATATCTGGTTACTGCAGGAATCATCTGAGAAGCAAGGAATTACCTCTGGGGCTTTCTGGATTTACAGCAGTCTAGCTTTATTCTAAACAGATTTTTTTTGAGACAACCTTCTTTCTTGCAATTTCTTTTTCTCTCTTCCTTCATCTCTTTTTTGATTCAATTGCTCATGCAAGTGCCCAGGGAACGTATTAAAATTGCTTTTCGCCTCTGGATCCCCATTTTGGTTTTAAGGATTGTTGTTGCTGAGACATGGCCTCAAGCATTTGGCCTGAGGACGCTGGGTTTGGCAAGTATAGTTTCTGACCTTTTTTTCTTGTAACTTGCTAATTTAGAGAAATAATAAAGAAATGTAATTGTTCATTTCTCAGGGAAATACTATTAATGTGGCAATTTCTGTAGTTTAAGTAAATTTGGTCACATTGCTTTATGCATCATAAAATTTATGAATTTTTATATATTTCTTAGTATTTCATATTATGTCACCTAATACATCTCTGTATTTATATATTGAAAACATTTTATGATTTATAAATTGGATAGGAAATCCTACATTTTTTGTGAAGGGAGAATGACTGTTTTATTTCAATTAGTGATGAATATTATAAAGTTGCCCCTTGTAAACATTTTAAGCTCAAGCTATTTTTAAGTTAATTTTCTATTTCTGATTTAAATGAATTGGCTAGATAACCAGTGATTGTGTATTTGTTAGTTGGTTCACATATTCATTACTAAATTATTCATTAATGTGCTGAAATGAATCTGAAGTCCCACTCTGTAACAAGTAATGTTTCTTTAATCATTATACACATTTTGTTAAATTTTAACAAATTTTTCTCTGTTGGGAATATATCTCTTTTTTTCACCAACGTTTTCTCCTAAATATAAAGGACACTACTAAACAGTGATGCCCTTATGACATAGGAAAGGCTCTTTTCAGGTGTTGGATAGCATGCTGTTTAATATTAATATAGAAGTTTCTCTTCCTCTCTGCACTTCGAACCCCTTTTTGGTCTTTATTGCTCAGCCAAGCTGCTTCAATTAAAGTAGTAGTGATAAAATGTTGGACATATAAATCTTTATGAAACATAATTCCAGCCCCTGGAAATCATTATACCACAGAATATCATCATTTTACCTGATTCCTTGGGAATTGCCATGATGCTCACATTCAATGCTGAAGCCCTTTCAATGGAAGCAAATGAACAACTCTTCAAGAAGATCCTTGAAGTGTGGAAAGACATACCATCTTCAGCAGGTATGTACAAAAATGTTTCTCTTTTATATGATCTCAGAGAAACTTCTGTTTTCTGAAATATCCCATTTTCTCAAGGCGTATCAGGCTAATTTAGGATACTGTATGCTTGTTCCTTTACTAAGGTGCGTATGTTTGCCATATGCTTAATATATTCACAAGGCTACCACAAAGGCACTAATTTTGACTGTCTTAGTTGTTCATTTGCAATAATATAATTAAAATAAGGAAGGCATTCCTTTCCACAATAATCTATAATTTTATTTTAACTACATTTGCTTGCACATTTTATGCAGATGTTGGAAATGTTTCATTCCCTCATATTGATCTTTGGGGTTTACTTTTATCTTAGGAGACTGCCAAATAATCATAAAAGAAGAGCAGAATATTTCATATAGTAAATAGTATTCTATTTAGAGAGTGATAATCCTGTGAAGAATCAAATACAAACTAAGTATGTGACATATTGGTTGTCACTAAGATTTCATCATCCTTCATTTGCAAAGGAGATAAATATGACTGTCTGGAATGCCTATTAGGTACTATCCAGATGGCAACATAAAAAAACTGCCTTTCATCTTCATCAGGCCAGGACTTTTTTTTTCTTGATGAATGTAGGACTGCTGATCTGGAAAATATGAATAATTTGAGACTCTTGTGTATGTCCCTGAGGCTTAGTGACTACAAAAGTGATTCTAGACAGGGAACAGAATGCATATGAACAATACAAATATTAGGGAGAGTAGAATGATTTGATGGAAGATAAACGTTCCTAAAAAGAAGAGGGGATTAATGAAGCAAATAAAGGAAAAAGGGGAAGGAGAGGTAAAGGGAAGGAAGGAGAGATAGATAGAGAAAGGTAGTTTGTCTATTAAGGAGCCAGAAGTTTCTGAAATCTTTATGAAGTGGCTAAATGTGATCCCCATGTAGCTTTAAAGACCAGTTTGAACTGCTTTTTAATGGACATTTTTTTCCTTATGGGATGATGGCACTTTGCATTGCATCTGCAGAATCCTTTTTTTGCACACATAGTGTTAACAACTGTCCTGAAAACCTCTTCTAATTTCTCCAAACAGGGGAGAACTCCCAAGGGCTTAAAACCATTTTAAGTGACAGGGATATATGATTATAATTGACAGATCTGGGGCAAAATAAACTGAAAATAATGAATCTTGTTCTAACCTTTACAGTGTTACTTTTGTGATCAATATTTTAATCAGAAAAAGAAATAAGGAAATTCAGTTCAAATGGGAAACTGAGCAAACCCCTATATTTATGCCACTAGACAATCATAGGAATCAAAGGGGTCTTAAAATGTCATCTGGTAAGCTCTTGTCCTTAAGGAGGACAATTTCTGACCTAAAACAAAAAGCTATTTTAAGTTGCAAGAATTTGAAAAACATCTCTCTCTATGTAAAATAAATTATACCACTATAAGAATGTGATATTTTGGTTTGTGTATTAAGGATATTTTGAGAATATACTAAAGACTACATTATAACATTTTTATTAAGGAAATCAATTTCCCTTTCTGTCTAAAAACAACTGCTTTGCTATTTAAAACTAACCTAGATCCAGATTTCCTCAATCTAAAATGTACATTTCTTGAGATATAATAGATGTTTTCAATAATAAGATCATTTCTTTGTATATTCAAACAAAGATATAGAAGCTTAGCAATGACATCAGGTGTCACTAAGCATTCCCATTCCAAATCATTGGATTCCATTTCATAGGCAAGCTAGCTCAGTTGCTAGGTTAAATGGCAAATTAATGTTTTTCAGAATTAAGGTAGAAATTATGTAATGCCATATGAATAGTGTGCTTGGACTCAGCAAGTATTAAATTTAGAATTTTTTGCTCTTTGTGGTTGTTCACAAAATACCAATTTTAATGAAGTATTCACATTGGTGACAAAAATTCAAATCTGAATAGACTAAATCTATTACTTATTTCCATCACTCAGGTCATGGATTCCCCTCACTTTCTTTGTATATGGAGTGATTTTAAGTCCTGTTTGAAACTGGATTTATAAAGTCTTCTTCCAGGAGCACCATTTGTCTGAATAAAAATGCAATTGAAAATGTAATTATAAAAAATGCAATTGTAATTTAATTACAATTTTGTGATCAATTTCATACACATAAATATTTTGAATTAGAATGAAAAGGAAACGAGATCGTACATGCTTAGTTAGGTTTCAGTTGAGGAATTTGAAATGCCTCACACTATGCCTATGAAAAGTCACATTTATCAAAGTTTTAATAATTTTTTTCACGAGTCATTTTATGCATATTTAGTGTATACATATATAGGACAGGTAAATTTTGGTTTAAACAAAGGCTTTCTAGAACTTTTTAGAATGATAAAGAAAAAATTTTAAACTATATTACTATTATAACAACTCAATTTATTGTGTTTATAATACAAGAAAATGTAAGGTCTAGTGAACTGATCTCTGATTTTAGTCATGTTTATAATGGAAATGAAGATGCTTTGTTTTGGTGTTTTCTAGACTATTTCAGCTTGACTCAAAATCTTGATATTATTTTAAGTACAGGATTGAATTTATTATGGAAATTTACTTTCCTATGAAGTACATAAAAAATCAACTTAAAAGCTAAACATTTAACAATAATACTGCTCCCTGTGTCGGAAAATACCTTATAGCACCAGCTGAGATATGGCTCTTTACATAATTAGGTTTTCTGCTTTAAGGCAATTGTCATGTTTTTTAATTGAAGTATAGTTGACATGCGATGTTATATTAGTTTCAGGTATACAGCATGGTGATTTTAAATTCTATATATTACTCAGTGCTCACCACGATAAGTGTAGTCACTCTGTCAACATCCAATTGTCATAACCTTGATTGTCACCACATAGGGGACACAGGGTCCAAAAGTTAAAATCTATTTTTTAAAATTTAATTATGTTATGTTAGTCACCAAATAATACATCATTAGATTTGATGTGATGATCCACAATCCATTGTTTTCATATAACACCCAGTGCTCCATCAGTACGTGCCCTCCTTAATACTCACCAGCGGGCTAACCCCTGCCCACACCACCTTCCCCTCTAAAACCCTATTTGTTTCTCAGAGTCCATAGTCTCTCATGGTTCATCTCTCCCTCTGATTTCTGCACACTTCATTTTTCCCTTCCTTCTCCTAATGTCCTCCACGCTATTCCTTATGTTCCACAAATAAGTGAAACCATATGATAATTGACTTTCTCTGCTTGACTTATTTCACTGAGCATAATCTCCTCCAGTCCCATCCATATGGATGTAAAAATTGGGTATTCATTCTTTCTGGTGGCTAATATTCCATTGTATATACGGACCACATCTTCATTATCCATTCATCTGTTGAAGGGCATCTCGACTCTTTCCACAGTTTGGCTATTGAGGACATTGCTGCTATAAACATTGGGGTGCATGTGCCCCTTCTTTTCACTACATCTGTGTCTTTCAGGTAAATATGCAGGAGTGAAATTGCTGGGCCATAGGGTAGCTCTATTTTTAATTTTTTGAGGAACATCCACACTGTTTTCCAAAGTGGCTGTACCAAATTCCATTCCCACCAACAGTGTAAGAAGGTTCCCTTTTCTCCACAGCCTCTCCAACATTTCTTGTTTCTTGCCTTGTTAATTTTTGCCATTCGAACTGGTGTAAGGTGGTATCTCATTGTGGTATTGATTTGAATTTCCCTGATGGCTAATGATGATGAACATTTTTTCATGTGTCTGTTAGCCATTTGTATGTCTTCTTCAGAGAAGTTTCTTTTCATGTTTTCTGCCCATTTTTTGACTTGATTATTTGTTTTTGGGGTGTTGAGTTTGAGAAGTTCTTTATAGATCTTGGATACCAGCCCTTTATCTCTAGTGTCATTTGCAAGTATCTTCTCCCATTTTGTGGGTTGCCTCTTTGTTATGTTGACTGTTTCCTTTGCTGTGCAGAAGCTTTTTATCTTGATGAAGTCCCAAAAGTTCATTTTTGCTTTTGTTTCACTAGCCTTTGGAGATGAATCTTGAAAGAAGTTGCTGTGGCTGATGTCAAAGAGGTTACTGCCTATGTTCTTCTCTAGGATTTTGATGGATTAAGGTCTCACATTGAGGTCTTTCATCCATTTTGAGATTATCTTTGTGTATGGTGTTAGAGAATAATCGAGTTTCATTCTTCTGCATGTGGCTGTCCAATTTTCCCAGCACCATTTATTGAAGAGACTGTCTTTGTTCCATTGCATATTTTTTCCTGCTTTTTTGAAGATTATTTGACCACAGAGTTGAGGGTCGATATCTGGGCTCTCTATTCTGTTCCATTGGTCTCTATGTCTGTTTTTGTGCCAGTACCATGCTGTCTTGGTGATCACTGCTTTATAATATAGCTTGAAATCGGGCAATGTGATGCCCCAGCTTTGTTTTTCTTTTTCAACATTTCCTTGGTGATTCGGGGTCTTTTCTGATTCCATAAAAATTTTAGGATTGTTTGTTCCAGCACTTTGAAAAATGTCATTGGAATTTTGATCGGGATGGCATTGAAGGTATAGATTGCTCTGGGTAGCATAGACATTTTAACAATGTTTATTCTTCCGAACCATGAGCATGGAATGTTTTGCCATCTTTTTGTGTCTTCTTCAATTTCTTTCATGAGTGTTCTGTAGTTCCTAGAGTATAGATCCTTTACCTCTTTGGTTAGGTTTATTCCAAGGTATCTTATGGTTTTTGGTGCTATTGTAAATGGAATTGTTTCTCTAATTTCTCTTTCTACAAATGCATTGTTAGTGTATAAGAAAGCAACTGATTTCTGTGCATTGATTTTGTATCCTGCCACATTCCTGAATTGCTGTATGAGTTCTAGTAACTTGGGGGTGGAGTCTTTTGGGTTTTCCACATAAAGTATCATGTCATCTGCGAAAAGAGAGAGTTTGACTTCTTCTTTGCCAATTTGAATACCTTTTATTTCTTTTTGTTGTCTGATTGCTGGTGCTAAGACTTCTAGTCTATGTTGAACAATAGTGGCAAGAGTGGGCATCCTGGATGTGTTCCTGATCTTAAGGGAAAGACTCTCAGCTTTTCCCCATTGGGATGATATTCGCTGTGGGTTTTTCACAGATGGATTTTATGAACTTGAGGAATGTTCCCTCTATCCCTATACTCTGAAGAGTTTTAATCAGGAAAGGATGCTGTAGTTTGTCAAATGCTTTTTCTGCATCAATTGAGAGGACCCTATGGTTCTTCTCTCTCCTCTTATTAATGTGTTCTATCACAATGATTGATTTGCGAATGTTGAACCACCCTTGCATCCCGGGGATAAATCCCATTTGGTCGTGGTGTATGATCCTTTTAATGTATGGTTGGATCCTATTAGCTAGGATTTTGTTGAGGATTTTGGAATCCATATTCATCAGGGATATCGGTCTGAAATTCTCCTTTTTGTTAGGGTCTTTGCCGGGTTTGAGGATTAAGGTAATGCTGGCCTAATAGAATGAGCCTGGAAGCTTTCCTTCTGTTTCTGTTTTCTGAAACGGCTTCAGGAGAATAGGTATTATTTCTTCTTTGAATGTTTGGTAGAATTCCCCAGGGAATCCATCAGGCCCCGGACTCTTGTTTTCTGGGAGGTTTTTGATCACTGCTTCAATCTCATTCCTGGTTATTGGCCTATTCAGGTTGTCAGTTTCTTCCTGTTTCAGTCTTGGCAGCTTATAGGTTTCCAGGAAGGCCTCCATTTCATCCAGATTGCTCAGTTTATTGGCTTATAGTTGTTGATAATAATTTCTCATAATTGTTTCTATTTCCTTGGTGTTAGTCATGATCTCTCCCCTTTCATTCATAATTTTATTATTTTGGGTCCTTTCTCTTTTCTTTTGGATAAGTCTAGCCAGTGGTTTATCGATCTTATTAATTTTTTCAAAGAACCACCTTCTAGTTTCATTGATCTGATCTACTGTGTTTCTGGTTTCTAATTCATTGATCTCTGCTCTAATCTTAATTATTTCTCTTCTAATGCGTGGCTTAGGCATTGTTTGTTGCTTTTTCTCTAGTTCTTTAAGGTGTAGAGTTAGTTGGTGATTTCGGGATTTTTCTATTTTTTTGAGTGAGGCTTGGATGGCTATGTATTTCCTGCTTAGGGCCACCTTTGCAGGATCCTATAGGTTTGGGACCAATGTGTTTTCGTTCTCATTGACTTCCATGAATTGTTTAAGTTCTTCTTTGATTTCCTGGTTGACCCAAACATTCTTGAGCAGAGTGGTCTTTAGCTTCCAAGTGTTTGAATTTCTGCCAAATTTTTTCTTGTGATTGAGTTCCAGTTTAAAGCATTGTGGTCTGAGAATGTGCAGGGAATAATCTCAATGTTTTGGTATTGGTTGAGACCTGATTTGTGACCCAGTATGTGGTCTATTCTGGAGAAAGTTCCATGTGCGCTCGAGAAGAATGAGTATTTTGTTGTTTTAGGGTGGAATGTTCTGTATATATCTCTGAGGTCCATCTGGTCCAGTGTGTCATTCAAAGCTCTTGTTTCTTTGTTGATTTTCTGCTTAGATGATCTCTCTATTGCTGAGAGTGGAGTATTGAGGTCTCCTACAATTAACGTATTGTTATCAATATGACTCTTTATTTTGGTTAACAGTCGGCTTATATAGATGGCTGCTCCTATGTTGGGGGCATAGATATTTACAACTGTTAGATCTTCTTGTTGGATAGACCCTTTAAGAGTGATATAGTGTCCTTCTGTGTCTCTAACTACAGACTTTAGTTTAATATCTAATTTGTCTGATATAAGAATTGCTACCCCAGCTTTCTTTTGAGGTCCGCTGGCATGGAAGATGGATCTCCATCCCTTCACTTTCAGTCTGGATGTATCTTTAGGTTCAAAATGAGTCTCTTATAGACAGCATATTGATGAGTCCTTTTTATCCAATCTGCAACCCTGTGCCATTTTATGGGAGCCTTTACGCCATTCAAGTTGAGAGTGATTATTGAAAGATATGAATTAATGGTCATCATGTTGCCTATGAAGACTTTGTTTTTATAGATTTTCCCTGTAAATTTCTGTTGTATATCACTCTTGGGATCTTTCTCCTTTTATAGAACCCCCCTTAATATTTCTTGCAGGGCCGGGTTAGTGGTCACATATTCTTTCAGTTTCTGCCAGTATTAGAAGCTCTGCATCTCTCCATCCATTCTAAATGACAGCCTTGCCAGATAAAGTATTCTTGGCTGCATGTTCTTCTTGTTTAGTACCCTGAATATGTCTTGCCAGCCCTTTCTGGCTTGCCAGGTCTCTGTGGATAGGTCTGACATTATTCTGATATTCCTCCCTCTCTATGTAAGGAATCTCTTCCCCCTAACTGCCCTTAAGATGGTTTTCTTGGTTCTAAGATTTGCGAGTTTTACTATTACATGCCGAGGTGTTGGCCTGGTTTCCTTGATCTTGGGAGGGGTCCTCTCTGCCTCTAGAACAAGAATGTTTGTTTCATTCCCCAGATTAAGTAAGTTCTCAGCTACAATTTGCTCAAATACATCTTCTAGTCCTCTCTCTCTCCACTCCCTCCGGGATTCCAATAATTCTGACATTGGAATGCTTCATGGTGTCACTTATTTCTCTGATTCTATTTTCATGGATTCTGAGTTGTTTTTCCCTGGCCTCCTCTTTTCCCTTTTTATCTATTAAATTGTCTTCCAGGTCACTGATTCATTCTTCGGCTTCACTTACCCTAGCTGTTAGATTATGTAGATTAGATGTGATCTCATTGATAACATTTTTAAGTTCTGCCAGTTCAGCTTTCATTTCTGCCCTTAGAGATTCTATGTTGCCATTAATCGGTTTCTCCATTCTAGCTATTGTCTTCACAATTGCTAGCCTGAATTCCATCTCCGACATCTTGGTTATATCTGCATCCATTTGTTAATCTGCGGCATAAGTCATAATCTCTGAGTCTTTCCTATTTGGGGGGTTCCTCCTCCTAGTCATTCTGTTGATGGGTGGTTGAGGGAATGTACAGAGTCCAAATTATTGACCAGAACCCAAGCAAGATGCACCTGTTTTCTAGGGACCTTAGGGTTGCTGGCCTCTTGTTCTCCCAGCCTGTCTTCTGGTGGAGGGGCCTGCCACGCCGTTACTCAGGCAACCCTATTTGGGCAGAGTTGCCCTGCCCCCCTGTGGCCAGTCATGGGCTCAGTGGGAACCAGTTTTTTGGGCTTTTGTTCTCTGGCGGCTTTCCCTGGCGGCTTTCTGCGTCTCTTCTGAGAGTCAGAGCAGAAGAGACCGTTTCCAACCCTCTGCCTCAGAGCAGAGAGTTTGCAGTCTGTTCTTCAGTGAGCTCTCCAGGACACACTGTCTCCGTTTCTGTCTGTGCTACTATAAACTGCAGCGTCCTGGGTTGTGCACCCCTCAGCTGCGCTCCCAGTCCTTGCCTCCAGCTCGGGCATGTCTCTGCCCTTTGTGCTTTTAAAACAGCCAGCCGCTCCCAGCTCGCTCGTGGGACCCTGCCACTCTGGGTTTCCATCCCCCGGGCTGCCCTAAAGTCCTTTCCCCACCGCTACCAGTCTGTGAGTCTGTGCCCGGTCCCCAGCATGGGAGGCTGTCACTCACCGGCCGTGTAGGATCCCCATGGCCAGGCTCCCTCCCGCTGCCGTTTATCCTCAGATATCTGCCCACGGAATCACGGCTCCCCACTTCGTACCTCGAAACCAAGAGTCTGCGATATTCTGTTTGTAGAGATCCAGATCTTCTTACATCTCAGGCTGATTTCATGGGTGCTCAGAGTGGTCTGGTAGATATCCAGCTCAATTCCGGGGACCAGTTGGAATAGGGTCCCCTACTCTTCCGCCATCTTTTCTCCCCAAAGTTAAAATCTTAATAAAATTCCCTCAGTCAGCCTCAGCCTAAACAGCATCAAATTAGGTTTAGTTTTGTTTATAATGTGGTCATTCATTGACTTGCATTAGAGTTGCTAAAGTCATTATCTGAGCAAGTCATTCTCAACAGTTTTAATTTTGAAGTTAATCAAGTTTTTATGTATGTCACTTGAGCACAAATACTAACCCTTATGAAATGCTTTACCTCAACTAAACTGGAAAACCAAAAATGGCTGTCGGTAGATTTTACTTTCTACAAATAAGATAGAATTAATGCTTAGCTTTTCCTGTGGTATTAGAGAATGGGAATACAAAAACTAATTAAGATCTAGTTTTTCAACGTTGATCACAATTGTAACAGTAGATAGCCTGCTTAAATACCACTGCTGAGCAGCATAATGACCAAATGACTATAGAAGGAGGAAAAACAGAATGTGTTTACCTGAATTGTAATAATGAGCCTCTTAATCAAATGTTGACTGTGGTTATAATTTGCTATTAGTAATAGAAAAAACTGTGTTTTTCTGATTTTTACATTTTTATTGTAGCTTTTGAATGTACACAGCGAACCACAGGATGGGGCCAAAAGGCCATCGAAGTCCGCTCTTTGCAATCAAGGGTTCTGGAAAGTGAACTGAAGCGCAGGTCAATTAAGAAGCTGCGATTTCTGTGTACCCGAGGTGACAAGGTATTGTTTATGTCTCCTAGTTATAGCAAAAATAAAGCAGGCAATGAAAATTAAGAAAATCCTTTTCTTTCTGGCCATAAATATATTTATGATATAATTGCCAAATTGACAAACTATTGATAAAAACAATTTTTCATTTTGCAGTAGTAATAACCCATTTTACAGGAAAGAAAATTAAAATTGAGATTTGTCAATTATTTGTGTAATGTGATCAATTTTAACAACCAATTCAGATAGTTTAAATGGAAAATATGCATTGTATAAAATCATTACAGTCTCTACATACTATGAGAAATAATAGCATGAAAAAATAATCCTAATAAAACTAGGAAACATCCAGATTTTGAAGAGATTGCTGAGGATTCAAATTAATATCAGAAAAACCAGGGTAAAACATTGTGCATGAAGGAAAAGTACTGGTTTGCAATATGAAGGGATATCATGGGAAGAACCAGTGTTCAAGGTCAGATAGACTTAGCACGCAGTCCCGGCTCTGCCACCTAATGAGGTGTAAGAACCTGGAAGTTTGATTAATCTTCTTGAGTCTTAGCTCCTTCATCTCAAAACTGAAAATATTAATAACTCTTCTGGTAACGATTTTGAAAATTAATGATAATGTACATATAGTAAGCATCTCACAGAGTGCCTGGCACATAAAATGTGTCAAATCAAGGGCAGCTAGTGTTATCATCTTCATCATCATCATCATCATCATCATCAATGTCCAAACGCTTCTAAGTATATTCATTGTGGATGTGGAAAGCCTTAGTCCTAACAAGGAGGCCTCTGTTTGCTATTTATGTCCATGTTCTGTTTTAATTCTCTTTAAGGCACAGAGCATATTCATAAGACATGTTCCTCTCTGAGCTGGTTAATTTAACTCATAATATCAATCTATTGATGTCAGTCCCTTCCACTGAAATAGAAAATCCCCCAACAAGTAAAAAATTTCAGTGCCACTTAAACACCAGCAACAATGGTGAACAACATTGAATAATTTAATCATTTCCTTATATTAAAAGTAAAGCGCTGTGAATTGTGTAAGACTGTTGAATCACAGACCTGTACCTCTGAAACAAATAATACATTTTATGTTAAAAAAAAAAAAGAAGACAGTCGGAAGGGAGAAATGAAGGGGGGGAATCGGAGGGGGAGATGAACCATGAGAGACTGTGGACTCTGAAAAACAAACTGAGGGTTCTAGAGGGGAGGAGGGTGGGGGGATGGGTTAGCCCGGTGATGGGTGTTAAAGAGGGCACGTGTTGAATGGAGCGCTGGGTGTTATACGCAAACAATGAATCATGGAACAGTACATCAAAAACTAATGATGTAATATATGGTGGTTAACATAACATAATAAAATAAAACAAAGTAAAGCCAACTTGAATAAAAGTAGATTTTTTTAAAGCAAAGGGAATCCTTAAACAAAACCAATCAAGAATGTCAGCAGATGAGTGGCACAACAAAACTTAATTTTATTTAAACCATATGAAGTACAATTATATAGAATATGGTAAAAGATTGTTTTTTAATATATAATTTAGACGCCATACCAATTTAAAGTCTTGTTCTCTCTGTAAATCCTGTTCAGTAAATAGTATGGCTTAATATTTTAATTGGTTGATGTGGAATAATTGAAATTATAATTGTATCTGTCAAATAGCAGGTTACAATATATTAAATATTTACTGATGGTGTATCTTTCTCTCTTTTTAAAGCTATTCTTTACCTCTACCCTGCGTAATCGCCACAGCCGGGTTTACTTCATGACCCTTGGAAAACTTGAAGAGCTCCAAAGCAATTATGGTGTTTAAAAGGTTCCAACGATTTATTACAACATTTACAAACATCATAAATATGCAATTTGTATCTTAAAATTTCTGAAATTAAATGAGCATTCAGTTCTATTGTTAGGGAAAAATTAAATCAGATACTTTACTTTTAATGTAGCACAAAATAGTTCTAATGAGAAATGCAGCTTTATATATAAAATTAACTATAGCAAGCTCTATGTACTCCAATGGTGTACGATATCTTTTGCACAAATTTTGTAACTTTTGTTACTGTGAATTCAAATATTACTCTTTGGACAGTTTGGACAGTATCTATATTCAGATTTTATTACATGGAGTAAAGAAACCTGTAATGAGTTAGGTTCCAAATAACTTTCAAAATAATTGGCCCTGAGTGAGGTTTTACGGAAAAAAAAATAAAAATAACAACAAACTATATGCACATTTGCAAAGTCATATAAAGAAACAAAGTTTAGATTATTAAATGAAAATATTAAGGACTATGCTATAAACCAGACGAAGGCTGAACAACCTGCATGCCTGGAGAAAACTGCAGGGATAAAGGGGAAAAGGTCACCCGTTCTTATTGTTCCTTGACATGTAAGCCCCCAGTCAACAACCGGTTGTGTTTTTTTCATACCATGTTAAGCTGGTTTCCTCCTGATAAGGAGGAAGAAAGTCTTAGATGCTTGATTTTCCCCAGAAGCCCTGAAGATGTGCAATAGCTGTTTAAAAAAGAAAAACACCAAATAATACACTTGCAAGTCTGAATACAGGACTGAACTCCTGTACACATGTACTGTAGAATGAGTTTCTTTAAATACTTTAAAGTAGGCGTCAAATTCTAACCCCCAAAGACAGATTGGTTGATTTATCAAAATTCCTATCTGGCCAACAGTGGGACCATCAGACAACATTGAATATTTTCCCAACCCCAGATTAAATTATATAAAAGTTTCCCCCAGTTATAAACAAAAAGAACGAAATATAACAACAAAAACCTTGGCCGCTAATACTATGTTTTTACTATTTCTATTTCTGTAAAATCAGAAATTAATCTAAAAGTGATAAGTTGGAACTTAATGTTTAGGGAAAAAAAAGAAAAAAGAAAAGAAAGGAAAGGAAGGAAGGAAGGAAGGAAGGAAGAAATATTTTGAAAAAAGTACAAATTTCATCAAATTTACAGTTGTGAAAATCATGCTAGTCCATCACCCAATATGTTATAGACGCCATAGATAGGTGGTGTTTGGTCACCTATGGTAACTGCTACCTGGTGAAAAGCATAATTTCTGCATATCCATCCTCAATACCATGGTTAGTTCTGGGGCAATAGAGAAGCAACAGAACTACCACAAAGTATACCTCAGTATAATCCCTCTAGTTCTGCTTCAGAAGTATGAAGACAGTGCTACTGGGATAATAATTTTCAAACTACCTGGTTAACCAAAATACAAAAGCAGCTGACTATATGTGATTTCATGATAGCACATTATTTCTTGACACCTTGGTGCCAAGAATGAAGATTTGGATTTTCCTAACAACTTATATCAAGAGTGTAGTAGCTCAAAATGAGAATTTAGGAGAACCTGAATCCATGAATTAAAGAAATAAATGTGATTCACATTTCTGTTACTGTGACACAATAATGTGATCCTAAAACTGGCTTATCCTTGAGTGTTTACAACTCGAATGACTTTTTAAATGCAGTAGTTTAAAGAGAAAACAAACATTTATGTCAAATTATTTCCTTAGAAGTAGTCTTCATTATTATAAATTTGTACACCAAAAAGCCATGGGGAACTTTGTGCAAGTACCTCATTGCTGAGCAAATGGAGCTTGCTATGTTTGAATTTCAGAAAATTTTCTCATTTAAGTAGTGTGTAGAATCAAGTCTTTTAAGAATTCATTTTTTTCCTTCATAATATTTACTCAAAGTTAAGATTCAAAAATAAGTTTTATCTTAAAATCATATTTTTAAGGCAGTAAGACAGTAAACTATTTTAGGAAGTCAACTCCCATTGTGCTTTGTGGCTGTTATTCTAGTAAACAGAGACCATAGTGAACTAATCTACAGAGATGTCCCAAAGTAAACAAACAAGAAAAATTGCAGATGTGTAACTGAGCTTTAAAAGATGAGGTGTTAATGAAGAAAGAGAGCTGGGCACATATCATGAAGGGAGATTGAAATCTTGGGTAGCCCAAAAGAAAGGATTGAAAATATTTAAGTGGTTCATGGGTAATGAATATTTCCAATTTTGATGTTATTCCATCTGGAATGTTTATACCCTTTGCCAGCTGAAACAAGATAGTGAAGGGACAATTAAATTTCATAGTCAGTGCACAATAATAGAAGAAATTATATCTATACCTCACTTTGTAGATCAGCACCTGGAAGCCCCAGCTCTTTACAGAAGCAATGAAGGGGGACTCCTGACCAGCCAATTCCCCTAGCATTGTGCTTGAAAGCGTGAAAGTTCTAGCAGGTTCTGAGTAGCACTGGGACAGAATACAGTTTTCTTTTAGCGTACTTCAGTTTTTTCACTAGAGCCCGTGTCCAAAATAAAAGGCACTGTTGGAAATATTTGAAAACTAGAAAACGATGTATGAAAAGGGTTGACAAGAAAAGCTCTGAGTGATTAGATCTGTTGAAGTAAGCTAAGAGCATCAGAGGAAATAGTAGGAAAGGATAATCATTTAGATAGTCAAATAGGCAAAGCATAAATCACACATGTATGCGTACATAGATACAAACCATTAGAATGCATAACTTTCAATATTTTCAGTGCTACCAGTTTCTAGAGAAAATAATCACTAGGTGTTTTCTGCCAGAACTCATTTAATTGAAACAGTATTCATAAAACTAGGAATAATGCCACATGCATTCAATGGGATCTTTTAAATGCTCTTCAATTCTTTTTAAAAATGTGCCTATTTAAATCAATTTGTACTCAATCTGTGCTTTAACTTTAAAAATTATTGAAATAATCTTTGAGACTGTTGTTTCATCAGAAAATCTGCAATGAACCATTGTTCAACCTCTAAAAATAAACATTTTAAAAATTATTGAATGATACCAGTATTTGAAATATATTTGTCAAAATGCCTCAGAATTAGGATTCATTCAGGGAATATTCATTTATTTAAAGTATGTAATAAGGCACTGATTGGAAAGTATTAGGGGTTTTGCTTGTTGTTCCATTAAGAATTCTGGCTAAGGAGGGTTATATTGATATGACTAAAATTTTTCTAGGTACAGTGGTAGAATTAGAAACTGATTAATTTTCCTCAAAATATGTGGGACTTTACACAGACACACAGCATCACACAGCATGGGTGAAACTCAAGGAAATTTTAATCTGACTCCCTTCCCATCCCACCCCAGTGTCCTGAAGTCCAGTGAAGAAGTAAGAGGAGAAAGCTTATCTGAAGAGAGGAGTAAAAGTTTTATAGTTTCTTAGCATTCAAGAAAAGGTTTAGTGCTGGCTGATGGTTGAAAATGGAAGTTGGAATAATTATGGCAGTTTGTCAAGGAAGCTGAGTCCTTCAATTGGGAAGAGAAGAGAAATGACACTTCTCTCAGCAGGTCACAGAAGCATTAGAGGCATGACCCCATGAGTATTCTATTGTTTCGAACATTCTGGAGAGAAGTTTATCAAGCTTTCCCATTATGGCCAACTGAATTTGGTCCTTATTTGTCAAGTGTGGCAAGGTATCCATGAGTGGGGTTACCTGGACATGACAAGCTCATCCAGGCTTTTAGAGTATAAATTCAAAGTGCTTCTATGATCAAATTGACTCATTTAGCTTAATATATAGAACCCACAGACTTCAACTATTTTAAGGGGCAGTGAGCCAAGGAATAAAAATAGCATCACAGATTGGAGTTAGAATGCACAGGGTGATGACCCAAGGCTGAAAGAGGGCATTATCCTAGGAACACTTTACCAAAGCATAGGGGACAGAGTAGGTCATGAGTAGAAGTTGCTATTAGTAACTTTATCATTCTCAAATGGAGCAGTGGGTTTACAGATTCCAGTACTGCAAATCTATTAACTGAACCTTTTCCAACATTATGATTTCCAGTATAATAGCACCTGTTTATTTACAGGGCCTTTGGCCGTCACTTAAGGATACTCAGGTTCCTGAGGGTAATAAAGCCATTGAGTATAGCTACTCTCTAATTCCAAAAATTGAGTAGAAGGTAGCTAATGAATTAAAGGCCAAATATGTTTCAGAAAACATTGTCATATATCATGTTTTATGTTGTTCACAACCATTTCAACTGATAAAAATATAATTCCTCAGGGAGTAAAATTTATTCTATATGGATTTATATTTTTAGAAGCTAGTTCACACCCTACTTTGTAGATGATACAAAATCAGGTTAGGGATTAACTTTCTCTAATAGCTTTGCCACCCTATATGTCAAAGTGCCTTGTTTGGTGCTTGTCATACAGCAAAGACATAAAAACATGAGTTGAAAATGAGAAATGTACTTTGTTTTGCCTTGATTATCCTTTGCTATTTTATTAACAATGGTTTAAAATTAAAATTCACATACCCATTTGTTTCATCAAAGTACCAACTGTGTCTGGTGATCAAAGAGTAATGACCTATTTTGGGTAATTTCAAATGATCTTACCCTACAAGCCTGAAATGAAACAAAGAATAGGTCAAGATAAAATTAAAATTAAAATTGTCTTCTCAAGTTTTGTTAAATTTTATTTTTTGGAGTTTTATTTTTTTATTTTTTGTTTTTTATTTAAGTATAATTCAGAATCAGTGTTATATTAGTTTCAGGTATACAATGCAGTGATTCAGCAATTCTGTACATTACTCAGTACTCATCACAGTTAAGTGTACTCTTAATCCCCTTTATTACGCCCATACCCACCCCCAGCATTACTTTAAAAGCAACACATGAGAGGCCACTATGCCTCTTTAGTAATTACCCAAAGGTCATGAGTAATGACAAAGATTGTTTAATAACATAAAATAGCACATAAACAAGCCATTCAACTGGCTGTTTTGCACAAACATTTGTTTTGAATGTAATTCTTTTTCACAAGGTTGACTCTATGTTATATCATCTTGAGACATATTTAAGCATCATCAAAACTTATCAATATACTTTTTGATCCCAAAATTTTAAGTTATGTTCTCGAAGATATATATCAGATTCCAGGCATTCCTTGAAGGTACGTTTTGAGCAGATGGAGTGTATCT